CTAGCTAGTATAACTATTACGTATTAGGAGACGCTATATAGCCGGATTAAGACTACGCTACTATAAGTAGAGTAGGATTCTTTTAAGGATTCTATTCGCCTCTACCCCTATAAGAAGTAGGTTAACGCTTATAACTAAGATACTATACGGGATAATAGTATAGTAATTAAGATTGCCTACGCCGAGTATACTAGCGGTAATAATACTATTACCGCCTTCTATAACGTCGGCGGCAATCTATATATACGACTTCCGCTCTACCTTAGCGCCTATATTATAATTATATAGAACTTGTAAATAGAAGGCGGTATTATTAATAGCTCCCTCGGTACTATCCGAGATATTATATAGCTATTAAGTAATAATAAAGACGTTCTTAATAAGCTACCTATACTCCTACTTATCGAATTAGATAAGTATACCGGACTAACCTTCGACGAAGAATTCGATCCTAATAGCTCTCTCGGTATACTATATCGAGTTGTTTCGGTTATTCTAGTCCGTCGAGAGTAGCTTTATAATTAGCGATAAGATATACGATGCTTACGGACTTAGTTCCCTACTACTATTGTATATACTATTACGATCTATAAATCCTAGGGTATAACGCTCGATAAAGTAGTACTCGATATCTCTAAGAAGGACTTTACGCCTAGCTTAATATATATTAGCGTCTTCCGCGTATAAGGACTAAGCGATTTTATATTTAAGGCCCCCTTCTATTTCTATAATCGGTTTAAGATAGGCAAGGTACCGCCTACTACTATTGCTCGCTATACTAATATACTTCGTCGACGTCTATAGCGATTACTTTCTAAAGATATAGTACTTTCTTCGATACCTCCGAGACCTAATACCTAGTAAGACAAGTATAGAGATAGGATAGTAGAGTATATACGAAAAAAGCGAAAGCAAATCGCTATATAGCGTTAGTAATAGTCTGCTTAAGAAGCCGAGTAGAAGAAGCGATAATTGCTATAGTATCTTAAGGACCTTAAAGCGATTAACTATATAGACTAGCTTTAAGCTTAACTTTAAGCAAATCCTCGCTTACTATATAAGATTACTACTCTAGCTTAGCGCTATATACGTAGCCCTCTAGAGGCTTATAACTTCCGCAATCTACTTACTAAGGGTAGTATTAATACTAAGCTAGTATAAGTATATATTAACTAGTTCGAAGCTCTCTATCCGTAATATACTCCTTTGCTACTATAGATAGTACTTCTATAACTATAGGTATAGTTAGGCCCTCCTCCTCTATCCGACCCTCTACTAGTATATCCTACTAGTACCTGTCTAGTATATACTCTAGTAGGTACTCCTACTAAGACGACCGAGTTCTTCGCCTATATTAACGTTAATCGTAAGAAAGCGTAATAGGCTCGCTAGACAATTAACCTCCTAGATACTAAGGAATAGGAACCTACTAACTCTAGTTTACCGCTTCTAGAGCGTCTCCTATAGGATTAGTATAACGATAATAATATCCTCGACGCTATCTAGCCTAGCGAGACTCTTAGCTTTAGAGAATTTGCGTTACGGTTTACTAACGCTCGTAAAGAATAGTAGGTCGATTAGGCGCGACTTAAGGAGGTTATTCTAACTATTACTAGAGTTATAATAACTTTACGAGGGCAAACCCGCCTCCTAATACGATAGGCAGACTTTTGAGATAATAAGATAATTAATAAGTAGGAGGTAATAGATAATTAGGAGGTAATAGAAGATAGTAAGTAGGCTAGTAATAATAAGGAGATAGCTAATACCTAATAGATAATAGATACTTGTCTTTAATAGATTGCTATATGCTTTTAGGTATTAGAATAAGCCGTTAGGAATAGCTTTAAAGATTAAACACCTACTATATAGCTATAAGTATAGATCGCGATTATAAGCGGTATACCGCTTATAGTTGCAATCGCTTATAGCGTATATATAGATAATATAGTATTAGAATTAACAAGCCCGTTTAGCCTAAGTTGTATAGAGGGTACTAATAGCTTGTAACTATAAGTAAGTTAGCTTAATATTAGCCTAAGACTAGATTGTTATCCGCCGCTCGCCTCCGGCTTCGCTCGGCTATCCTAACCTATACTACGGGTCTATAGATACTTTATTACCTAGAACTATAGGTTCTTTAGTAGGCCCTTTAGCGGGCACTTTAGTAGGCTCTATACTACTAGTATTGTTATTGCTAGCGCTACTAGTAGCGCCGCGGTTATTGTTGCTTCGTAATAAGCCGGCTATTATAATAAGGGGTAGCACTAATAATATATTATAGCCCCTTATAGTACGGATATAGCGGAATTAGTAGGTATCGGCCTAGTATAGTTAACTTAGTATAATAGGCCGTATAGAAGGCCTTGCTTAATAATTAGTACGGTTGTTTTTAGTAGAATAGTACGTATAGGTCCCGTTCTTTAGGCGTAATATAGTTAAATCGATAGTTTTCGTAGCCGTACCGCTAAAAGCTTAAAATAAGGACTATCTAGCTACTGCCCTTAAAGGGTAGATCGAATACTATGAAATAGGGGTTATATTAGTAGGTAGATAGGGTAGTAGTAGGTATAGGTAGTATTCGATAAAGAGCTAGGAGGAGAGGAAGGAAGGTAGGCTAGTTAGCCTAACGCTAAGCGCTAAGCTCTGCCTAAGGCACTAAGACCCTAGCTTTACTCGGCCTAGTTATATACTAATTACGTATAGCCTCTTTAGCCCTAATAGAGAATGCTACTAATACGCTAGAAGTAGTCGAAGATTATTACCGCTAATATCTATATAAATCGCGTCTACTATATATTACTAAGTCTATAATACTAATACGACTAAGCGTACTACTATTAGTCGCTATAATCGTAATACTCTAAAGATAGGTAAGTTAAGCGCCGTAGACGTTACCTACGAAAGGGGGGAGTACTATTACGATCTTAGCGACCTATATATAAAATTCGAAACTACGTAACTTAAGGTTACGTAACTTAGAGCCTAAGGTATCTACCGAGCGGATAAAAAGCCTCTTCCGCGAGAGAGCCTCTCTCTCTTTCTTCTTTAACTCGTTATTAATTTAGATAGCTACTTAATTAATATCTTAATAGGTAACGAGAAGAAACGGCTATAAGTAAGTTTAGCGGCTATAGGCGAGGTCTACTAATAGAAAGCAAACGTTTTAGTATAAACATTCTAATATCCCTATTTAGTATTAGAAGGACGTATAGCCGCGCCTACGCTATATACTCGAATATTATAATACTAGAATATTTAGCTCTAGGATCTAGTAAACTTAAAATACTCCGAGTCGAGATTCTTTTCTAGATTCTAAGATAACTACTAGGTATTAAGACTTAAGAAATTATAATACTCTTGTTAGTAGGTAAAGCTTTAAGTTATACTTTTTGGATTTCTAAAAACAGTAAAGTATAACTTAGAAAAAGCTAAAGTACTATATTGCTTATTTCTTTTTCCTAGCTTTAGTTTCGTAGAAAATCTATAAATTTTATGTTTTTTTATAATAATATATAAAAAATAGAGTACCCTTCTACTATATTACGAAGCTATAAACCTACTAGAAAAAAAGATAAATTAGAAGTAAAATGTCTAGAAAAGCGATTTTCTTTCCTTTATATCTTTTTATCTAGAAGGCTTACGGCTTAGTAATATAGAATAAAAATGCTCTAGTTTTAGTATAGTATTAGGCAAAAGTCTAACTTTTATAAGTTACCTATTTATCGTTCTAGAGTAGCTTAGGATCGCTCGCGGTAGCTTACGATTAATAGGATCGATAGGATCGATAGAATTAGTAAAAAAGTTTTCGTAACGTATTCTACGATAGTAGCTTCTTACCGCGTAACGCTATTACGTTTTAACCGGTAGCCGAGAGGGTTTCTAAGAGTTCTTTTAGGATCTCGTTTATAGACTAGTGTTATATTATATTAGCTTTAGTAGATCTAGCCTAGCTAAAGGCTTCCGCGTATTAGAGCGTAGAGCGCGTAGCTTATAGCTAGGCTTCTATTATTTATTACCTAGTATAAAGACTCTCGAAGGTACGATAAATCTTATTCCTAGTTATCTCTAGTATAGTAGAGATAGCGTTCTCCTAGCTATCTTACTCGGGTTTCTAACGAACCCTAGTATTTTCTATAATAAGGATTAAATCTAATATTATAGGTAAGTAACGCGTACGTAGATACTAGATATAAGACTTAATAGGTTCGATAAAGAGCTAAGTCTATCTACGTAAATCCGAAAAGTTTTATATAGTATACTAAGCGCTAAGTAGTAGGTTAGAATCGCGTAGGCCGAATACCTAAGGCTAGTACTTTCTATCTAGGGTATACTAGCCTTTTATAATAGGCCTCTATAGCTAGTATAACCTATTATAGTATAGATAGCTATACTTAGTAAAATAAGATAGTAGACTTATATCTTAGGCCGTAGTAATAAGAGCCCTATAATAGAGATACTACTAGAGTATTCTAGAAATAGCCTATAATACTATATTAATAATTCTATATTTCTACTAAAGGAGGCCTCTTTTATAGGCTTAGCGACCGCCGACTGGCTATCTTATAAGAATATAGGGCTAGTTACTAGCAAATACGATATAGTTTAGTAGTTCTATAAAATAGATATATTAAGTAAATATAGCTTAGCTCTATTTTAGCTTTAGAAATCTAATATAAGTAGACTATATAATATAGGACTACTCTTATAGTATTAGACTATTTATATATAGAGTCTTAAGTATTTTCCTTAAAGCGTTAAAGAGTTATTTTAATTTTAAGAATTCGGAAATCTAGATAGTATATAGGAAAAACTTCTACTAGAGCCTAATCTAGAAGCGGACGTTATTAATATATTCCTACCTAATATTAAAAACGAAAAACTTCTAGTTTCTACTATCTCTTCTCTATAAATACTTCTTATCGAAAGCTTGTTACAACTCGTCTCTATAATACCTAGCTTACGTACGAAGTTGCCTACTTCCGATATACACAAATCTATTACGGCTTCTGCAGCTGTTCCTTCCTATAAAACTTGTAGAAACCAACACAAAGCGCCAAATTCGCGATCAAAGCAATCCAAAACCATGCACTCCACAGAGCGGCGAGACCACCACCGATGTCTGGAGAAATGGGTCCGGGGCCCAGTCTGTTGGGAGCGACAGCGCGGCCGAGGATGGTGGCCATGGAACCGAGGACCTGAGCGGCGGTGAGGGCGAAAGCGACATGGTTTCTCGTCAAAGTTCCCAGCATGATCATGCCGATACCGACGCCATGGATAGAGTCGAGCACGCCGAGCCAGAGCCAAAGAGATCGGGAAAGCAAGGCGCTGGAGATGTAGATGGCTCCGGTGTCAACGCTGCCGGGAGCCCAAGGGAGCCAGAGACCGATGTTTGATGTAGCCCACCAGATTTGCGCCCATCGAGGAGCGCCGAGGCCGATGGCGAAGAGTGGTAGAATCCATGAGTGTGATCTGGACAAGTGTGCGAAGAGTGCGCAGAAGGCGGCCCAGATGAAGATGAAGAATAGGAGGACGAGGAGGAGGATGTGCCAGGCTGGTGTGTGGATGCTGCTGAAGAGGAAAGACCAGTTGCGTCCGTACGGGGCGGAGAGGAAGAAGTTTTGCACTACCGCGGTGACGAAGAACCAGAGCACGACCTTGCGGCGAGCGATGGACTTGTAGAAGCTGGGCATTTTGCCAGGAGCTTGGCGGTAGTATGATGGAAGACCTAGCCACATGATGAGACAGATCGCCCCGAGGAAGCCTGCGATTGGGAGGGTGATGGCAGTAGCTTTCCAAGTGCCCACGACCGAGTCCTGGCTTGCTTGGAAGCCCAACGCTCGTTGACGGGACAGAAAGCTGCCCCAGTACCAAAGTGCAACGACGTATAGTTGCTGCGAGCCTTGGATGACGCAGGCTCTGAAGACCCAGGATTTCACCGGAGCGCCGCCTTCGTCTCCGAAATTCAGTGCGAAGAACAGAGCACCGGAAGCGGAAGCAACGGTGTAGAATGCGGTGCCCAAGTTTTGAACCCAACCTCTCCCATCCATCGTGGGCGCGAAGTGAGCGATGCCGACGAAGAAGAATGCCAGTCCGTAGAAGAGGAATGGCAGCGAGAGGGAAACGTGAGAGGCGCAGCGTCGGAAGCAGAGCCACCAGATGGACGAGGCGACCAGGTAAATCGAGGCTACAACGTAGAGTTTCGTTGCACTTTGACCGACCTCACCCGTCAGGAGGGTGATCTGGTAGCTGTTGGCTGCAATGATCTGGCCGAGAGCCATGAAGTATGCATAAAGCGGCCAAGCACCAACACGAACTTGCATCCATTTGCGAAGGCCTGTGGGAGGCTTGTATTCATCACCAAGGTAGAAGTCAGCGACGTGGATTTCCGACTTTGCGGACGCATTGTCCGCAGTCGCTGGCTCCGAAGGGGCGATGGATTCAGGACGAGTCGTAGCACCGTCACGCTTGAGCATACCGAGTTTGGCATTTCGGAACTCAGTGAACCATTCCTTCTCAGATTTGACCAGGAATTCTTCGATGCAGTTGCTTGATTCGGAGTTGCTGGCGTCCAGGGTTCCGAGTTTGCGCCCGAATGCTCGGTAGAAATGGCCATTGGTGTCGGTGAAGAAAGGGTCGACTTTTTGGAGATTGAAGTCCGTCTTCTCGCCCACGATGTTTTGCATTGAAAGCCCAGACACTGTTCGTGGAATGATACTCGTGCGGGCCGTGGAGAAGTTGACCGTGCTGGCACGGTTGTTTTGCGGAAGAGCCATGCTTGATCGAGTCCTGGCTGGCTTCGAGAGGCCCGGCGATGAAGGCTCAGAACAGTCTTCGGGCTGGATCGGCGAGACGCAGCGCGGTGTATGAACGGAGCATTCGGAACGATTGTCGTCGTTAATCATCTGGCGCAGGCTTGGGAAAGGATGACTTGACTCTCTGTACTCCCGAACGATATCGGTGGCCATCGGAGGAAGTGGCTCTCGGTCTCCAACGATGATTTCGTCGTCGTCAAGGATCTGCTCGCTTTGGCTTCCATCCCAGGATACGTGACTGCTCGGACCATACATCGATCCTCTGGGTGTATGCCTTGCTCCAGAGCCGAGGGTTGGATGTATACTCGGGTGAGGATGCACCAGAGTGATCGTGGAGCTGGACCAGGAGTTCTTCTCTGCAGCGACTTTGTCATGGGTACGGATTGATGTGGACTGCAGAACTTCGAGCTCCTCAACCCATTGCTGGACTGGGAAACGCTGCTTAGCCGATCGGGCTCTCATCATGGCTCTGGTCTTGACGGGCGAGCTGAGGGCTCCACGAATGGCGTCCTTGAATTGATGGAGCAAGTGAGCAGTGGTGGTACTCTCGACAGTATACCACCAGCCAGGCATTTGACCCAAGCCACCTGCAAGGCATCGTTAGCGAGACATTGTGAGGAGGATTGCATGCGGAGACCCGTACCAACTCTTGCACCAACCCCGAGCGCACCCTTTCTGCCAAACTCCACTGCGACAAGGCCAAAGGGCTCGTCACGAGATGGGATCAGGGCGAACTCGGCTCCAGAGAAGATGAAAGGCGGCAACGCGGTAAAGACTGGCTTCGAACACACTCGCTTTGGATAGAGCTCCATCAGGCGGTCGAACTTCAGCGCGGCAAACTTTCCATACAGGTCAATCACAGGTCCTACAGTGATCAACTGAGCGTTTGGATGCGCTTCGAGAATTGCCGGGAAAGCGTCTGCGATCAAGTCAATTCCCTTTTGCCTGCGGACAATCAGTCAGCAAGCCACATTCAAAATCAGCATTTGAACCCACATGGACCATCTTCCGACAAAGACAAAAAGCTCAGCTTTCGGATCCGGCTCGAGACCGGCCCATTCTTGTGCTTGGACACGATCGTTGAGACGCTTCTCCTCGAAGTCTTCGTCGATATGGATGTCCTTCTGGTCAGGCAGCTTCTTGTCCCAGACTGCGGTGTCAGAAGGATCCGGGTTCTGAAGTGCCTGGACTTCCTTCAGACCCCAGAAGATTGGGTACCTGGTGTATGCTCGAGCACCGTATTTCTTCGAGACACCCACAGCTCCGAAGCTGAACTCGTGTCAGCATGCATTTCGCAATTTGTCATGCGTGAAATGAGTTGCTTACCCTTCCTGGTGGATTCTCAAGTAAGAGGCTCCAGCGTGCAGCAGGTTGAAGATCTCGCCATATTGTACGTACTCGGAAACGACGTTTGGCGGCAGGTTGAAGACAGAGCAAACCTCGTCTCGCTCCTTTCTCGTCCGCATCGGCCAGAGTCCTTGAAACTCTGCGTTGTGGAGCGAGAGACAGACGGGGATGGTCCTGGGCAAGATGTATAATGGCGCCACGGTGCCGTGGTAGTCGTTGATGTGGTACAACTCAATGGGGAAGCGAACAAGTGCTTGAGCTACGCACTGGTTCCACGCCGAATAGTAGATGGCAGAATCGAGATCGTCCATTCGTGCCGGGTATGGCTCAGCCTTGGTTTGTTGTCGGAAGATTGGTGCGTCGAGAAGGACGTAAGTGATGTTGCGCAGCTTGTGGTACTCTGCAACTGTGTCAGCTTGCTTCACGAATTCCCACGCGTTGGGATCACCACTTACGGACGTTAACGTCGTACGTCTTGCCCATGACAGCGACTGTCATCGGCATTGCCAGCTCATCCTGAGGATACTCAATGCCACCAACACAAGGAACGACCCAGATGAGATCCTGATGCTCAAGATTCTTACCCATCAGTTGAGCCATGACTCCCAAACCTCCGATCTTGATCTTGATGTTCCAGTCCTCAATGTCGTACTCCATCGTCGCGATGAGCACCGTGCGACGAGTGTCCGGGAGGTTCATGAATTCCTCGCCCTTGCGAGACCAGATCTGGGAGCCTCTGGTGAAGATCGAAGAGCTGTCCTTCAGCTTCGTAATCAGACTCTTGTGTTCATCCGCACTCTCTTTCGGGAAGTACTTTCGAAGAGGAGCAGGGATGAGACCCATAAGTCCCAGCTTTTCGGAAACCCCGATCTTGTTGAACTTGATCTTGTAGAAGCTGCCGACGAAGATGTATGTCGATAGTGCTGCTGTGGTGAGCGGTGCGACCCAGAGAATCACGTAAAGTGCGAGCTGCCACCACATGGAGCCCGTGGGATCCAGGCGGAAGCGCAAGTTGCCGTCATTTACAACGAGCCTCCAGGCCAGGTATGGCTTCGATGGAGGAGCCGTGACGTTGAGCACGAGTTTGGCGAGCGATGAGGGTGGTAGCTGGTCCAGAACAGAGTCACCATCAATATCACCCAACACCATGCGCTGATCAGGAGTGCCATCTGGTCCCATTCCCCAGACATTGATCTGGCCGATTGTCCCGTCGTTGGACCACTCACGATTCCAGTTGAATGTCCAGGTGTAATCATCCGTGAGCTTCATTCTGTTGTCAAGACCTGCATCGTAGCCGTATGCGTTGTACGGACCATTGAGGTACATGTGCGGGAATCTGCGAGGCTTGCTGTGCAGATCTCCCTGCTGTACATGACTGCTCGAGCCTCCGAGACGGCTGAAGTATTCAACGCGGACATGCTCGCCCTTCCACGACTTGGAGTTTGCATTGGCACAGGGGTGCGCAGATACTGTCTCCACGCCTCCTTGGTATGGTGTCCACTCTGAGAAGCAACCGGCAAAGTCAGTGGAGTATCGGTAGAGATCCGCGCCGGCCGCAGAGTGGTTGAGTGTGATTTGGCCGTGCGAGCTCTGTGCGAGAAGAGTCGTGGAGTAATTTGCAGATCGAGTGAAGACCATAGGGTTGTTCTCTTGTCCAACGCGGAATAAGAAATGATCGCGAGACTCCGTGGTAACGTTGTGACGCTGCTGGGGCATGTGGACTGCGTGTGGTCGATCGACGGTCATGCGATGAATGCCGTTCGATACATTCCTGATCGTGGCCGACCACGAGAACATGGAAGGAATCTCTGCCACCCAGGATGTCTCTGCTGATTCATTGACTTGACCACATCTGACACTGTCGCGGTCAATGTACGGATAGATGCCAGTTTCGGTCTTGGAGCTGAAGCTGATGCTATCGGTGATGCTGTCGCATTCCATATCTGAAGAGAAGTCCAGTGCTAGCCGGATGTCTTCTATGCCCGAGGTGTCGGTGTTGTTGGAAAGGAAGCGAGCATCATGTCCGGGGAGGAACTTGGTGATCACAGGCTTTGGACCAACCCACTGACTCTTTGGAACGTACGCACGGAAATCGTAGGCCTTCATAGCGAGCTTGTTAAGACAGCCATTGGGTTCGGTGGAACCCCCCATGCCTAGATATTGGGTGCCGTTCATCAGAGTGTGCTCATCATAAGGATAGATCAGGTTCTTCACGGTTGTACCTCCGGGGAAGGGTGAAATCAACGATGTCGAGTTAAGGTCAGTCGCGTTGTCTCGGCAGTCGAATTGGTACGTCTGGCTGGCGTTCAGGTTCGAATAGAGCAGCCATACTGGAGTCGCTGGCTGTGGATGGTTTCGCGTTCCATTCCCGTGCCGAGGGCTGGTGAGATTCTGGATCGCTGGCAGGCTATTTCGCAGCACACTCCACAACCCCGTCTCAGTCGGGACGCCACTGGAACCCGCATAAAACACCTCCCAGGTCTGGTTGGACAGCTGCTGCAAGAAGAATCCATCATTCAGAACTGGGAAAGCTTCGCGAAGGTGAAAGAAATGGCGGAGGATATTTCGAACAGGGGCAGAAGGGTCGCGGTGATCGGCACTGACAGAGTCATCGTTGCATCCATGCCGCGCTCGATCCCAGGGCATCTGATAGTACTGGCTCGAGTCGAGGGCATAACAGCCGTGAGTCTGCCACGCGGTCTGAGTTGACATCGGCTGTCGACCGAAGATGTAATTGTCATTCGTGCTGTCCAGGACGTGGAAGGTCTGCTCCTCGCCCCACAGTAGCTTCGGAATGCCAGGCATCAGCAGAATGGTGATGAAGTGACCCAGCAATTGACGCTCAACACCGCGCTCAATTGCCGGCCAGCGGAAGACATCCTGGTTAGTGACTCCATACATGTGGCGCGGATCAAAGACACCGGTGTTCGCGTTGATCATGTCGTTGGTGAGCAGGAACGTGTTCCACTGATCGATCCAATTCCGCGGTCCATCGTAACCAGCTTCGAGATTACCATCCATACCGAGAAATCTAGTCAGAGAGCGGTAGGTAGTGTAGTGGAAAGCCGCGCCATCGAGGGCGACCTGGTCTTTGCCGCGGACAAAGTAGTCATCAGGCGAATCGCGTGTGAGCTGGACGGCTTGCGTGATGTTGTCAGGCACCTGGTCTGGCTGTCGTCCACGACCGATGTAGATTGAGCCGAACGAGTTTCCACCAGTGACTTCGCCCGGCAAGAAGAAGTTCTCCTTGCCATATCTTCTCGCGCATGTTCTCGTCGCAGCACTCATATCTGCCATCGCGTCGACAGTGGCCTGAACAGCCTTGTCATAACGGAAGCCATCAATGTCAAGCTGGGCGATGGCCATGCAGTAGAAGTGCTCCAGCTTAGCTCGAACGGAAGGCTGCCACTCACGGAGACGATCTTGCACCGAGGCGAACTTTGAAAGTTGACGGCGCCAATCCGGATAGACACCGAATGCCTCCGTATCTCCATACTGATCGAACTCCGACATGTAGCATCCCTTCATCTGGTCCTTGATCTCTTGGTCGATGGGGAAACCGGTCTCGTTCCAGAAGCGCGGATATGTGCAATTCTCCGTGTACTCGTTGCCGATGTCAAAGTCCCAATAGTGACGATTTGACTTCCACAGCACGCGATGCTCTTGAAGTGTGAATGGAGTAGTCGTGTTGAGGTACCCTTCAAAGCCAATCAGGTCGCCAAGCGTCGCGAACGTATTGTCAAGCACGACATACATTCCACGTGCATGAATCTCATCGACGGCAACTCTCCACATGTCGAGGGAGCCAAAGTGAGGATCGAGAAGGGTGAGATCGAGCGGCGAGTAGGAATCGTATTGCCATGGCGCATTCATGAATGGAGAGCCAGCAATGTATAGACCCTGTCGCAACACATTAGCCGCATGCTGCAACCTTCCAATCCAGTGCACCTACTTTGACTCCCATTCCTTGTATGTAATCGAGCGTATCGACAAGACCTTGAAGGTCGCCACCATGTCGCATTTGATTGGAGTCGGTGACACGTTCGAAGGCGCTGTTGTTGTAGTTGTCGTTGTAAGGATCGCCATTGACGAAACGGTCGAGGAAGAGGGTGTAGAATGGGAACCTCCAGTTGTCTGGCGAAGCAGTAAAGTTGTGGCCTGTCCATTCTCCCCAGAAGTCTAGAGGATCGATGGCAGTCTGGTTTTGATTGAGGTTGACCTCGGTGTAGGCCTGATCAAACTTGTATGCTGTGGCTGAAGAACCACAAAGAACGCTCAAAACAACGCACCCCCAAACACCCATCGTAGAATGTACTGTGCCGATTTGCACCAACGAAAATGTATAGCAAAAAAGGGAAACGAGTGAGGAGGATCAACGAAGCTCTTGAAAAGCCAAGGTCGCTGTAATCCTACTGATACTAAACGAACGACATGCCGGGCCTGGGCGAGATGGACAGAACGATAACTTGGAAGATGCGCAAGGCTGGACGCATTGTGATGGCAGGGCTTGCCACCGACAACTCGCTGCATCGTTGAGACTGCCATGCCGCCATCGAGCTCCGTGAAAAGGTCCGCTTGCCCAAAGGAGACCAGGGGAGATCGGGAGCTGACTGTAATGGACTGTGCCTTTGGCTAGCGAGACGCCATGAGAGCCTCGTGGGCGCTACCAGGCTGAGCAGGCTCTCCGATTCCTTTCGGCAGCTTCGGAACTTGGAAGCATAAGAAACGTGTGCGCAGTCATTCCACAGCGTTCGGCTTGCCATGTGTCGTTGTTCGGAACTGGTTCGGCTCTGCCGCGTGAATGGGGGGGGGCAGTGAACCGGCTGAGATCTCGTGCGAGAGCTAGGAAGAGTGTACAGGTGCACACAGAGGCCGGGAAGTGGTTGTCGGTGATGAGGTTTGCTGTTTGCTGGCCTGATTGAAGATTCAGTGTCCAAGTTTCCTATTTGGGAAGATGACATTCTGTGCATGCCATTTACGGCAAGCGTGCTCATGCAAGCTCATACAGTATTAGCTCGCTCGCTGCCGTGCCGGTCGCTCGATCTGGTCCCGATCAAGAGATAAAGCTAAGTTGATGCTACGACAGGGCACTCTGCACTATGCAGGAGCTTGTCTTGTTGAGTTGGCAAGCGCCTGGCGTCCGGGAGCGCAGGCCTGTGATGACCATAGCGATCTTTGCCATCCATCTACAAGAAAGAGTTGGAAGGATGCGGCAATTCTGTTCTGTTCATGCAAGGCTAGTAGTGTGTGATGTGTTCGGAGCGACTTGCGCCAATTTCGGGGATCCGTCGGGAGGCTTTTTGATCGAAAACGTTTCCAGCGTCATTGGCGCCCTGAGACAATAAGAATGCAGCTGTACAGAGAACTAAAGCAGCGATGTTGTTATCATCTGAGGTCCTGATAGGAGGTGGGTATTACCAAAAGAAGTGGCATGCCCTGCCAAGAATACCTCGTCGAAGAAGTATGAGACATGGCGTCGCGTCGTGTTGGGGAAGTTTCTGCCTTGGATTCATCAGGGATTCTATATAGGCCCGGATGGATGCCGGAGAGATTTTAGGTATTCAAAAAAGTTCTCCGAGTGATTTGAACACACATTGCAAGCAAGCGGATGGGATGGGGCCAAGAAAGTGTTGGGTCGGAGACACGGAGGCAGGAAATGTTCGTGGGAGCGAAGAAGATAATGTCGCATCACCATCCATCCCATCGCGCGATGCTCATTCGTCGTCCTCATAATGTTCCTCGCCATCCACCTCTCCACCTTCCTCCTCCTCGCTATCCTCACCCTCCCCATCACTCTCACCTCCAGACTCCACATAATCCTCTTCCTCCTCATCTTCAGCATCCTGCAACTCCTGCTCCGCCCTCTGCAAATCCGTCAACCCATCCTCGCCCACAGCATCACCACCCACCTCTTCACCATTTGTCTTCGCCTCCCCCTTCTTCTCCTTGTTCACATTATACTCCTTCGCCCTCCTCGTTGCAGCCATGCTCGCATCATTCAGCTGATGACGTTTGATGTACTCGTCGATACCCGCGAAATCCGCTTGGTCGAGCATACTGAATTCGATCTCTTGAGAATCGGATGCTGCGATGACGAGATTGAAAGTTCGTTGGAGCACGGATGTGTAGCTGATGGATTCGATGGCGGAGAAGGGGAAGAAGGATAAAGGTTTTTTGAAGGCGAAGAGGATGCCGTTGGGGAGGAAGAAGAGGTAGCCTGGGAGATGTTCATGTCAGTATGGGACCCGGGGTGGATGTTGATGGGTTGGTGCCTGCTTACCCTCTTTCGTGCCTCGATGTGCTTTGACATGATATCCCTTCTCGCCTTTTCGATGGGATTGGGGTATGCTGCTTGCGAATTCGGCTTCGGTGGGTTTTATGACTTGTCTTCGATCAGGTTGAAGTAGAGCGTTGAGCTCTGCGTCTGTCACTGTGATGTATGTGTCTCCTTCCACCTTTGCGCGCGTCGAGGAGTTGGCGTCATCGGGCTTCGTTTCGTTCATGGTAAATACGATCTGCTCGCATGGTGTGCCATCTGGGTTTGTCGCGCCTGCTTTGGGCAAGATGACGAAATTCGATTGTCGTTGTTGTTTCTCTGGTACTGGAAGGCAGAATACTTGGTCGATCTGCGCGTTCGAAAGGGTGTACTCGGTCTCATTTGTGGTGTTGTTCAGCAAGCGCACTTCCCTCTTCCTCGGTTCTGATTGATCCGCTATGATCTGCAGCTTCAGCTTCTTCCTCGCTGGGACTGCACAGCTGACATTCTTGCATTCAAAGGCCAACGCGGGCTGGGCGATATGAGAGCTGTGGGTGCCATTCGCGGTCGACTGGTGATTTGACGAAGTCGCTTCGTCCAATTTGCGCTTCTTCGAGTTCGTCGCCTGCGCACCGCTGCCGCTGCCACTACCACTGCCACCACCACCACCCGTAGCTACGACATGCTTCGCAATGTCCCCGAATAAGGCCGGCAACTCGCGTTGGTATCGATTTGCCGTATCGATAATCCTTGTCGCCAATGCTGGGTCGGTGTGGAAAGCTGTTTGGACGTCCTGCGCCCACTGTTGACCTGCCATATGGCGAGGTTGCGGCCGTTAGCGGTATATCAGATGCGGCGACGCTGTGTGTTGTTTCGCGCGACGCTGTGGTGAAGGACGCGTTCGCGCTCCCACTTCGGCTTGTCGTAGGGAGGCCCATATATACTAGAGGCTCAATGCGGTGTTTCTTATACTTCTTACCGCTATTACTACCTAATCCTTTATATTTAACCCTCTACGACTCGTACTATACTCGCTATCGACTCGTAGAATACCTCTACGTATCGATTTATTACTATAGAAGGCTTAGATAATATCTTAAGTCTATAGTAATACTATATAAGAAGTAAGCGTATAGTATCTTATATAGGAGACCGGTTATTATATATCCCTTAATATACTTAAACGAAGACTTAAAGAGTAGAATATTAATTATAGCTACTATACTTACTATTACTAAGTTAATAATATCGAGATACTAAAGATTTAGGTTATATATACCTTCTATATTCTACGGTTAACTAATAAAAAGACAGTTCGAGTACTATAGGCGGATAGGTTTAAAATTAGCTAGCGAAGATATTAACGGATACGTTAAAAGCTTAGATTAAAGAAGATATTACTAATAGATAGATAGATAGAAGCGAAAGAGTAGATAGTAGAGGTCTTATAGAAAGAGCTAGAGAAGTCTATAGTAGAGTCTTTTAGCCGATAGTACCTATATACCTATATTAGGTCTAAATATAATATTATTAGTAGAGATTAGCTATATCGTATAGCTTTCTTACTAAATCCTAAAGGGTTATAAGTCCGCCGTAAGCGGACGCGAGAGTACTATAGAGCGATTATTATACCCGGCCCTAGTTATATAATATTAATAGATACTTACTATAAATTCGAGTATTAGAGAATATAGATCTACGTAGCGATTAATATTTACTCGCGTTATATTATTTGGATCTATATAGTTATTACTAGCTAGATAGCTATCTCTATACTAGCTTAATACCTTATAACGATCCGGAATAGTAGTATAATACTATAGATTATCTAATTAGACTATAGGGTAGAGAAGATTCTAGCTATAGACGCTTGCTATAAGACTCGCCTTGCGAGTCGTAGTAACTAGGAATAACCGCTAGCCTTCGAGGACTACTTTAAATATAGTACGAGTAAGATAAACTGGCGGATTAAGGTATAGTAGCGTTAGTAAGCACCCGTACTTAATAGCTAGAGAGGCTATTTCTACGAGTTACTACGCGAGTTACTATATAATACTAAGCTACTAGCGGATCGGATTGCCTTCCTTATAATCTATATACTAATTATATATAATAAAGTCCTCGAATTTATCTACCTCTAGAATAGCTATTATATCTAGAAGTAGGCTAATTAACTATATATTATACTAGGTATTTCGTATATTCTATACTATTATCTAGAGCTTAGCGGGCATTCTTATTAAGATATTCCTATGCCTAACGGCGTACTTAATAATATAGAGTAAGACCTTTAAGGATTCGGTATGTATTAGATTCTATAGTCCTCGCTATATACTCGCTATAGACTCGCTAATAGACTCGCTAATAGACTCGCTAATTCCTAGATCTTAAAGCCTACCTACCTAAGGCTACGCTTTCTTAGTATTAGATAGTATTATAGATTTATAGCTTCTCGTATCTAGTAAGCGGTAGCGAGAATCGCGATAATATAGAGCGCCTTTACCGCTCTACTTACTTACTTCTTTAACGGCTAGCTAGGGAGTATATAGCTATAGAGTTAGAGCCGGAACTAATAGAATTAGATAAGCTATTAGTAGTATATAGTTAGTTAGCGGCGGCTCGGAGTTAGAAAGCTAGAATAATTAAGATTATAAATAATATATACTAATCGGCGATCTACGAGCCGGCTACGAGTATATAGCGAGTCGCTTTTTCTAGTTCGATCTTATCTATAACCTTCTTAAACCTCTACTATTTCTATGCCTATTTATCTAATTGCGAGCGAAGCTCGCACTACTATAACGGTCTCGGTCGCTAGTCGCTCTTAGGTGCACTTAGCTAGTACGTAACTCCCCGCACTTCTTAATTCCGTTTGTCTAATTAGCTAAATCCTACGGGGTTACCCTTAGGCAGCAATTCTAATATTACTTGCACCTCTATACGCTAAAGGATAATAATAACAAAGCTATTATAGACTACCTACCCTTTATATAATACGCTAGCGTTACGATGCGACAATACTACGATGCGACAATGCTACGACGCGCTAATAGCTAAATGCGCAGCCCTCGCTAAGCGCACCTCCGCAAACTATACCTCCGTAAACTATACCTTTGCAAACTGTACCTCTGTAAACTGTACCCTTAGCGACCTTCGGCAGCAAAACAAACCCTATCCTATACGCAATCGAGGATATAGAGCTATATATAGTGCTATAGATAGATAGATAGATAACCTAAAACTAGTATTATATTAGTAAAGAAACTAGTAAAGAAACTAGTATTATACTAGTAAAAAAGAAGTCTACTCGACTAGCACCTATACCTAAAGACAGCATTGCACTAGTAAAGAAGCAGTCTAGTCGCCTAGTATCTAAGGCTAAAAAAAAGATAGACCGGAAGACCGGAAGCAAAACTATAGACGGGCAATACCCGGAATTACTCTTACGGATACGATATAAACCTCGAGCTTATAATCCTTTAAGATGCGTTACAAATCGACTAAGTAAATATAACTACTAGACTTCGACCTTATATACTTTATAAGTAAAGTGCCGCTATAGAAAATTAGCCGGACTGATTTTAGTAACAATTAACGGCTGCCTAACCTAGACTATTAGCGGTCGCTTCTACTAGATTATTAGGCCTAGCAACCTCGGAAAGAGCTAATAAATTAGCCCGGAACCCTACGGCTACGACTACGCCTTAAGCTAATTAGGGGAAGTCCGAGTAGACCGTACGTAGTAGGAATAGTTCTTATTACTAAGGGAATAGGACAAGACCTCGAGAGACTATAACTAGGCGCAAAGGATTACTATAACTCCTATACCTAGTTGTAGCTAGGCGTCGCTTCGTTATTAGTCGGATATTATAAATTGTAGTAGTATAATATACCCTTATTATTGCTGCCTATAGTAATAGCGCAGTCAGAAGAAAAGCTAGAAAGGTAGGTAGTAGGCAGAGAGGTAAGGTTTCTATACTAGTTAAGGGTTCAATTTCCTACTAGGACGCGATATTGCTATTAATTAGTTAGACTAATGCTATACTAGCTAGACTAAAGCTATACCGATACCGGACCTAAAGCCGACCGAGTTAAGTCGATTAAGTATATTCCTAGTAAAACTACGCTAGCAAAAGTAATTAATACGATAACGACGGCTGCCTTAGGCTCCGAGAACACCTTTCGCTAAGCTAGGAGACTAGCTACGGCTACTAGTAGCAGAACAGTATCGTAGCTTTTAGTAGATTATAGGAATGCTTAAGCTACGAGACGTACCGGCAACGCACAATTAATAAAGGACTTACGCTTAATATATCCTTAGCCGAGCTAGTCGTAATATACGTACGGTTATACGAAAGCGGTAGGTATATACCCTTCCCCTATCCGCCTTAAGCGAGATCGCTAGCAATATACGGATACTAAAGCGGTAAGGGATAGGGGCTTGCCCCCCTCCCTCTAAGCGACAACGTTAGGAAAGATAATGCAAATACTAAAGCGGTAAGGGATAGGGGCTTATCCCCCTCCCTCTAAGCGATAACGTTAGGAAAGATAATACGAATACTAAAGCAGTAAGGGATAGGGGCTTGTCCCCCTCCCTCTAAGCGACAACGCTAGGAAAGATAATACAAATACTAAAGCGGTAAGGGATAGGGGCTTATCCCCCTCCCTCTAAGCGACAATGCTAGGAAAGATAATATAGATACTAAAGCGGTAGGTACGGGGGGTTTAGGAGGAGCCTACGACGACTATTCCCTCCTACCCTAAGCGACAATGTTACTAAAAAGGATATAGATACTAAAGCGGTAGGTATAGGGGGTTTAGGAGGAGCTTACGACGACTATCCCCCCTACCCTAAGCGATAACGTTAGCAAAAACGATGCGGATACTAAAGCGGTAGGTATAGGGGGTTTAGGAGGAGCCTACGACGACTATTCCCCCCTACCCTAAGCGACAACGTTAGTAAAAATAATGTAGATACTAAAGCGGTAGGTATAGGGGGTTTAGGAGGAGCCCGCGACGACTATTCCTCTCTACCCTAAGCGATAAACGTTAGCAATAGACTTAGATACAAAGTAGGGCGCTTGTTAGGTTTTATAGTATTACGAGGCGGGCTTCCGATAGATAGCGAGCGGCGTTATATATAGGCAAACGAAACAGTAGGACCCGATAGTAACGCGAATAGCTGCATTTACTAGTAAACGCGTTACGTCGTCCCTTCTACTCGCGACTACTTCCTTCTATAGACTAACTTTCGCCTTCCTATATCTATATATATACTTTGCTAATCTTTCGTTCCTACTAATTTAGATAACAATATAGTAATCCGATTACAACTAAACACGGTTAATAGCGACTTACAAGCCGATAATATATCCTTAAAGCCGCGCTCGTTATCGGATAGTAGGCCTATCGCCGACTCGAAGGACCTAAACTAAGAGGATACTATTCCTATTGCCCGCATCGCTATACCTAATCTACTACGCTTTATAGGCAGTAGACGACTTTAAGCTATACGCCTCGGTAGGTTTAGAGAGACGCCGCTACCGCCTAGTTAGCAGCCTATATCTATATCGTCGTTATTACCGCCGCTATCGTTAGTCCTACCGCCGTCTACTTAGCTAGAACCGAATGTACCCTTTCCGAGCGATCGCGTTTAGGTACTAACCTTAAAGTGTAAGAATTGTACTTAAGTTAAGGATAGTATCTAATTCCTTAATACTAGGAAGAAGGGTAGTATACTAGTAGAGAGATACGCCGCGTATCGCGGTATAGTTGTTAGCAAGGATAATTAAGGCAATTAGGAGATTAAGAAGCTTAGAAAGCGTATAGCTACTATAGTAAGTAGACACTTCGATACGGATATATTATCTCGTCTATTACGTACTCTTATACCTATAAGCGGAAATCGCCCTATTATACCGGCTATACCTAGTCTAGGTACTCTTAGAATTAGCGTTCCTCCTATAGTACTACCGCCTCGCCCTTACTATCCGTTAAGCTAGCCTAGCCTATAGACTTCCTACGCTTAGTATATAGCTATAGTTAATAGCCGGTAGTCCCGGTATAAGGCACGCTCTGCTCGTTAGGTTAGTAAGGGTAGTAGGGCTAATAAGACATATTAAACTCCGGCCTAGGAACCTAAGGGTACTAAATTACTATAACTATAGTTTATATGCGTCGAATGCGGCTACCCGCGGCTATAGGAAGATTAATGCGGTATCTAGGAAGATTAGTGTTTCTAGTATAAGCGTTATATTCTCGACGAGGACCCTATTACCGAGAATAAGTAGTATATCGATAGGAAGTATAATAGCAATCGTTTTAGTTTCTAGCGACCTCCTTTACCTAAACTTAAGACGTCCTATCTATAGCACTTTCCTAGATAGAATGCCTCTTTAGCACGTACTCTATCGATACTAGGTTAGGGCAGAGAGGGAGCTAGTAGCAATTTCCTTCTAGGATCTACTCTATCCGACTTTCCCCTCCTCGATAGTACTTAGCATTCTACTTCTTCTTAGAGCTATCTCTCGTCGGGTATATAGCCTACCCGTAAACTACGGGATGCTCTATCCTATAGTAAGAGAATACTTCGAGATCGACGGGATCGATTCCTAGCATATTATAAACTGTCTTTTGTACCCGTTAATAAGCAAGCTATTACCGAAGCACTTAATTTCTAAGATAAACACTTAATATATAATTTCTATCGAGCAATAGACGAAGACACTCTCGAAAGCTGTAACCGCTACTCGGAGCGCTAGTTTAGTTTAAATATCGAGTAGAATAGTAGGATCTATAGTCGATACGTTAACCGAGATAAGAATATTTAGCCTAAAGATCTATTCCTATTTAGCGATAGTAACAATATACATCCTAGTCGCGTACTAGAAGAGTTAATTAGCCTTACTACGGTAGAAGAGTTACTAATTGCCTAGGTTTACGTATAGATATCTGTCTTCTATATACGTAGATAGTAGTAGCAATATCGTAGGTATATCTACAACTTCTTAAAGGATATCGTTACTATATACTACAAGCTTCTACGTATTCTAAAGGAGTTAGACCTAGTTATACTTCGTCCGCGGTAACGTACCTAAGCTAAGCTAGCGATAAAGGAAAAGGAAGAGGCAGAGGCAGAGGTAGAGGCAATAGGCACTACTAGCGCTCGCGCTAAAGATAAACAACGTAAGCGCCGCTAATTTCGAGAAGACTTTCGTATTCGGCGTTCTAAGGTTCTTAATACGCTCGACTAGCTTAAGGCGAACAATCTATACTATCGGGAAATTTCGATTAATTAGGTAGTATTATCGCAATTGCCGGATAATAATACTATCGAGGACTAGCTCGAATCCGCGGAGTATATCGAGACCGCTATACCCGCTAACGATTACCCGCCTCCTCCGAAGTACTTTCTCTATACTAGGTATTATTACCCGCGTCCTATATAAGTACGCGGCTATACTAAATGCTACTATTATAAGAATAGTCTTCTAGACGCGAACTAGGTACGAGAGTAGCGATACTATATTTTCGGCGATTATATTAGTACGCGTAATTAATTCTCCTATATTAGTAGAGTAAACAGTCTATAGTTAGTACTAATCTAGCAGTTTGATAATAGTAGTGTTTGCAATCGCGATAACTATATCGATTACGTATACGTCCGGCCCGCTCCTACGATAGAAGTATAACTAGTTATTACGTATCGTATCGACTAAGGTCCTATATAGGGCGTAGGCATTCTAGATCCGGACGAGGATATCGGCTACGAGTATACTACTATACCTAACCTTTATCCTTAGTACTACGCTATTAAGTAGTTACGAGATCGACTTCGGTAGAGACGAGTAGAGAACAATAGCCTAGTAGTAGAAGGACCCTAGTAGCCTCTATAGTTGTCGTATATTACTTAGCCTAACTACTCTAAGATTCCTATTAACGAACTCGATCGTTCCTATCCTTTAATAGCTATAGCATTTCTAGCCCTACTTCTATAGGGGAAGGGAGATCTAAACTAGCTACGCCCGAGAGCTATAACCTATTAATAGGCTATCGACTACTATATACGGTTCTACGATAATCGATTTGCTTCTTATAAGCGCTAGCTATACTTTGTGTTTAATAAGGGTATGCGATACTATATACTTAATACTACCGCCTTCTTCGCTAATCGATACTAGAAAGATAGCACCGAAGTTACTATAGAGACATTAGAGGCTGCACTTGCTACTAATCTAAAGGACAGAGAGGCCTAGAAGCTTATTAATTCTATCGTTAAGGTCGGTAGGCAAATTCGAGGCACTCGACTATACTAGAATAGTCGCCGTATTAATTTAGAAACCTACGTTCGTACGCTTAGTAAGCCGTTACTCTTCTATACTATAAGCGCTACGGACCTTTAATAGGATTCTTTAGCTCGGCTTATGCCTAGATACGATCGATAGAAGCAACTAAGCCCTTTAGAGCGAGTTAAGATAGTACGAGAGAACCTTCGTAAGTACCCGTATATCGCTAATACTTATATTGCTCGGCGTTTCTAGTACCTACTCGATAAGGTAATAAAGCTAAAGTTCAATGTAACGGATTATTAGTATCGCTTCGAGTAGCAGAGTCGTAGCAGCTATTACGTTCACTTCTTCCTATAGTACGATCTACTAAAACCCGAAGTCTTAACCGTAGAAGGTCGTTAGGAATTCGTACGCTAATAGGGTATATATATTACTGCTCTTAACCCCGAGCCTAGTCGTAACCTCGGTTAGGGAGCTACTATTTAGTCTAGTAATAGAGAGCTTATAAACACCTAAGAGGACCTCGCTAATATTATTAACCGAGTCTAGCGATATATATATAATAATTACTACTAGGCTAAGCGGAAGGACGACCTAGATAGTAAGCTATACTACCGATTCTACTTCCCTAGAAAGTACTGCAACGAGGCCGATATAAATTACGAATACAATAATCGACACCTCGGATTTACGGCAGCTTATAATAACTCGTTCCTTAATTACTATAACCGCTTAATGTCGATAGCTTAGCGTGCTAATTGCGACATTACCCCCTATACTACTCTTTACGCTATTATGTAGTATATCCTAAAGTACTATAGTAAGATAGAGGTAAAGAGTCAATCGTACGATAATATTATAAAAGGCCTGCTTCCTCTAATTAACTACGATAAGCCGCTTCTTTCGATAGTTGTAAAGCTACTTAATATTCTTATTACCGAGAGGGACTAGCTAGCTTAACAAGTCGCATACCTCAATCTTTATCTACCTCTTTAGAAAGGCAGCCGGACTGTAATTAATATTAATTGCCGCGCTCCTATAGAGTAGACTTCTACTATCTAGATTTAGGAAGAATATAAAGATATTAATAATATAGGAGATCTAGATAATCTCGGTTAACTGCCCTTACGAGTACCTCCGAGGACTTCTATATAGAAGTATATACAGCGTCCTAAGTCGGCCGAAGGAGAGAGTCTGTTTAAGTACTTATTAGACTAGAACCTATAACGAAGCGGTCCGCCTCGTAAGCTTCAAAACGTCGCCCGTAATCGGCGGCTCCTTAACTACTTCCCGCGGTATATATCTAATCCTACGAAGCCTAGCTTTGTTAATTATTAGCGTATAAAGATCTAGGTATACTATCGTTTCCGCGAGTTACTATAGTATTCTATCGAGATACTATACTCTTTCCCTAATAAGCCTAATCTACAATTTACCTCCTAGGCCGCCGCTCTATAGCACTACTATTAGAACTATATCGATAAGGATAGCTATTCTATATATCCTAACGATTACCTTTAAGATATCGACCGTACGGATAACGATCCCTTTATCAACCCGGAGCTTTAGAACCTTAGTAAACCGGCTAACTTCGATATACTTTGTAGTCCTTTATAGAATCCTAGTATCTAGGACGAGGATCTAAACAACCTTAGTAACCGTAACGTTAATAGAGCCGCATATTAGGAGCTACGTATTAGGAAATACCTAAATAGCTATCCTAAGCTTTACGATACCTCTTAGGATTAGTAGTAGGTAAAGAAGCGAGACTACGGCGTCGTAGATATAGAGGTTCAATCTCAATCTACGGCTTAGTTTAAGCGCCTTAATCGCTACTAGCGCTAGGGCTTTGACCTAGTAGTCGACTACTTTAACTACCTTCTTTAGTATCGGGATCGAGCAGTTAATACTACTCCCGCTTAGTTACTTCTTAATATCGATAGCGTAGGAGGAACTAGCAAGTCGTTCCTAATTTAGATGCTCTATATACGCCTTTAGGCTAATACGAAAGCCGCCTATTACTAGGGCAATCCTATTATACGAGCAGCACTAACCGGAATAGCGGCTACTAATATCGACGACTTAATATTATATTCTGCCTTTAAGCTTCTAGTCCGCGGCTCCCTTAACTAGCTACAAGGTGCACGCCTTACGTATATATAGAACTAGTTCCGGTCTATATAGTATATTATTATCGACGAGAAGTTAATAATCGGCCTTAAGCTTCTGTACTTCCTAGATGCAAGACTTCGCTAGGTATTCCCTATAAACTAAGATCTTCTATTTAGAGGTATAAGTATTCTTATATTTAGTAATTTCTATTAACTAGCTCCGGTCTTTATATAGCTATTGTTTTAGAGTCGACCTAAAGGCGTTAAGGGTATTTCTATACAAGCTATATACTATGCATTTAATAAGACCCTTGTCCTTAAAGCTAATATGCGATAGGAGGGCGCTAATCCGGATTAGGTTGCTTTCTAGGAGGCACTCGTAGTACTACGTATCGGACGATTCGGCAAGGACTATTAGCAAACCCTTATAAGGCGTTCTACTTCGAATCTTAATATTGTAGAGGTTATATCCTTCGATAATGCCCCCCGCCTATACTTTACTAACGCTAATATTAACGACCTTAATTATTAGCGGCTCCGGGATATTAGTAACGCTGTTCTATCTATATATACCTCCTATAATCGTCCCGAAGTCGCGACTATTAGTTTAAAGAATGTTCACAACCTTAAGACTAAGCTAAAGGTTAGCATTAGTTATAAGCTTATGCTTTTAACTAACTTGTAGACTAAGTTTAGTCTCGTTAATAGTCGGTAAGGCATTCTATACGACATTGTTTAGGCATAGGATATAGTAGGGAAGAACCTCTATAAGGAGCTACCTCTCTATCTTCTAGTAGTATTTAACGGTCTTAAGGAGAATATACCTAAGCTCTTTCGGATTAATAACCGCAAAGTCGTGCCTATCTTTCGTATCTAGCGGGCCGTTAATAGTAGTAACAATAACTAGCGTTTACAATTTCCAGTTACCGTTTGTTATACGATAACGGTATATAAGGCTTAAGGGATGTCGCTTAATAAGGCCGTGATTCGGATAGGGCCCGAGTTCTCCTCGGGGTTAACCTATATCGTATTTTCTCGCGTTCGAGACTATTATAGCCTTATAATCGAAGGGGCCTTCGATTATAATTAGCTTGCGAAAGAATTAACTAAGGGTGCTATACCTAGAATGCGAGCAATAGATAAAGAACGCCGTCGTAGTTAGCTTCTACTAGAGCTAGCGGCATTACTACTTCCGAGCTCTCGTATATTCGACTTTAGTAGCTTTTCTAATACTATCCTTAATATCTTCGGTACTGCTAGACGACCCGCTACGGACTAGCATCTAACCTCCGATCTATAGGCTACTAAACAACCTATAGACGTAGCCCTTCCTACTTCCGAAGATATAGACATTAACGACTAAGAAGCTAGTACTATAGCTAACCTAGAGCGCGAAAATTTAGGCTACCTACTCGGGTCTAGCTTTGTGTTTCTTCCTTCTAAGATTAGTCCCGTGCCTCGATATAGTTAGTATCGTACCTACGTAGAGCGTTAGCATTAGGCAGTACTAGACAACTATCTCTTTATACGTTAGCTATAGGACTAAGAGCGATAGATATAGTAACAACTTTAAGAGCTACATATCTAGGGACAACTTTAAGAGCTATATATCTAGGGACAACTTTAAGACCTACAACTATAGCAATAGCTTTAAGAGTTACAAATGTAGCAATAGACTTAAGCTGTCGATATCGACGACGCCGAACTAGCTACTATTACCTCTCGTCGTATAAAGAAGGAGCTTGCACTTTCTAATAAGGACCTCGATAAACGATCGTAGGAGGTTCTAAGCCTTGCCTCGTCCTTCTATTCTTAGTTGTATCGCTCTAGTATCTTTACTAAGGACTAGGAAGCAGACTCTATATTCTAGTAGGTATTTAGAATAGAGGCACTCTATTCCTTAGAACGAGAGGCTACTATTAATCGGAAGGAGTATATAGATACTATAGAGAAGTACCCTACCGATTATCCGATATACGATATTGCTAATCTTGCTATAGAATTTAGTAAAGACGGTGTCTACGGCAACTATCCCCTAAGCGTAGACCTAAACGTCTAATTTCTATTTAAACAGCGAGCCTAGTAGCAAGCCTCGCTTCCTCTCTCCTTTAAGTCCTGCATCCGTATAGCTTTATATCCTAAGCTAGGCGATAAGGATTATAACCTTGCTTAGTATTTAGTAGAAGATATCGATCGACTCGTACGTCTAAACGCCTATCCTCTTATAGGGCGCTAGTTTATATCTCCGATATATAAAGACTAAGAGTCGGTATAGTATAATAAGATTATATACGGTATAAAGTAGGCAATCGACATGTTCCGTATAGCGACTAAGGTTGTTAAGGAGTTTAGCTTCCTAGTTGCATCTAATAATAAGGTTATCTCTAAGGACTAGTAGGACGTATATAAGACTAAAGACACTCGCTAACAGCACTAGTATACTACTAATTCGCTGCTCTTATACCTTAGACAGCTTAGCTTTATAGCAACTAGGCCTATCGCCGCCGTATCTTTCTCTGCTTCCTACTTTATTGCCGCCGAAGCCGATCTAACTATAGCTATTATACGTATATAGAATACCTAGGGTAGTCTAGATAGTAAGCGCACTATCGGCCCTCTTAGAGGTTAATTTATTCTTGCTCTTGCTAATCTACTGTCTTGCTTTCTATATATAAAGGATGCTAGCTAGCTACAACTAGGCAACTAGACGTATATTAAGACTCCGGATAACGATATTATATAGCAGCCTAACCCTTACAGTTATAGTCCGCTTATTGTCGAATACATTATCTTCTCCCTATATAGTAAGATACTCCTTCCGTATACGTACAACCTCGATTAATACTACAAGTCTATACGCCGTCGCTATCTTTAGATTATTTATAATAATATCGACGATAGGGCTTAGGTCCTAGTACGTCGGATGCAGTAAAAGGAACTTCTATAGCCTAGTAACTTTTTAGCTACTTTCAATTAGGGGCTTTAGGATAGGTATATCTCTATCGAAGCCGAACGCCGTAAGGTTCTTAAGAATAGACGGCTTTAGTAGGAAGCAGAAGAGTAGGTCTAACGCGAGGAGGCTCTTGCGGCATTCTAACGCTAGTATGTAGCTAACGTGCAGGTAGGCGCTGCACTAGCCCTATAGGTCTTCGGTCTAGCTGCTTCTGTTTTGATAGGTACGCAGGATTTCCTAGATAGTAATAAAGAGGAAGACTTTGGTAGTAATAAGTAATCTATAGCCCCGAGCTATAAGAAGAACACAACCCTATATCGCTTTGTTCGCTTTACTTAGGCTAGCTACTATAGAGCCGTAAGTATAGATCGCGATTATAAGCGGCTTGCCGCTTATAATCGTGATCGCTTACGGCGATTATACAGTTAGTACGACGCTTACTAATACGCCCGTTTAGCCTAAGTTGCTCTATAGATACTAATAGCTTTACTAACACGCCCGTTTAGCCTAAGTTGCTCTATAGATACTAATAGCTTACCTTCTCGATTAATAAAGTCTTTATAAGAATACGCTAGCAAAAGCAATTAATACGATAACGACGGCGCTATCCTATTAGCTCGGCGGAGTGTAAAAGCTTCGCTCGCACTTAGTAGGCACGCGTAGCCGCCTACGAGCACATTTTAATACCTACCAATTAGGGCACCTATTATACTAAATTAGGCGTCCACTATATAAAGAAATATAGTTAATCCCGATACTATTTATAATATAGCCTTCTTAATCCCGATCTACTAAGCGAGTAATTTATTCGCGAGTAATTAGTAGCCGCCGCTACGAGTAGCTCCGCGAGTATAGTACGAGGCTTTAGTAGTATTAGTACGTTCCTCTCTATACCTAGGGCGGCTAATACTATACGTAATACTACTAGTTAGTATTATAAGCTAACAACTCGAATACTAAACACTAGATCTCGGAGCCTCTCGTGTTGTCTACTAATACCTACTTTAGCTTTAGCTTTAGTAGACCTAAAAGTATAAGAATACCTTTACTTTATACTTAGTATATAGAAGTTAAGCTTACTAGTATAACTAAGATATAGTTCTTTATTAAACTAGTCCTATATTCTACTATTTTAGATACCTAGTCTAACTAAGAATTTAAAAAAGCTAAGATAATATCTATAGACTAGATTATAGACTAGATTAATGCCTACGAGCTACTAGATAGTAGTATCGATCGACTCGAGAGCTATTTAAACTACTTCCTCTATATAGGCTTTAATAATATAACTAAGTAACTAGAGAAGGTAGTAACTAAGGCGCTTAGATTACTAAGATAGGCCTTAGCGGTCTATAAACTAGTAATAAAGTTACTATTAGTCTACGAGATTAAGCTCTATATCTATACTAAGTAGGAGAAGTAATAAAAGCGGAAATATTCGTTAAGTACTATTACTATAGGTACTAGTACGAGTAGTATAGCGAGTTAGTAAAAGGTAGCTAATAGTATTAGTATTAGGAAAGAAAAGCTATAGACTAGGAAGGTTATCGATATAAATTAGCTACCTAAGATAATCGACTTAAGTAGCGAGGCTACCGTAAGTATACTATAAGATACGTCTATTCTAAAAGGGTCGAGCGAATCTAAGGATTAGCAACCTACTAATAGATAGGCTAGTAGCGGCAGATAGGCTAAGAAGATAAAGCGTAGTTAACGACTAAAGAAGAAGAAATAGAATAGTAGACTCGTAGTAGACTTATAGTAGACTCGTACTTCTTCTTCTTCTTTCTTTTACTATCTCTAAGACCTCTAACTTAAATATCTTCTACTAGCGGCTCGCAATTTGTATCTAGCTATAGCTCCTTCTAAATAGGATATATATCGCGAGACTTAATAATAGCCTTATTCTTAAGCTATTTAGACTACGAGAGGTAGTATTTTTTAAACTTATTAAACCTAGCTTTAGGTACCCTAACCTTTGCCTCTAATATAGTATTCTTTGCCTCTATAGCCTCGAATCGCGTCTATATTATAGCTAGCTTGCTACTTCTATCGTCTTTAACCTCTAAACTAGCTATATAGCTAGATTGCCCTTATACTTATAATAAGTATAGACTCGCTCGCCCTTAGTATTAAATATACGATACTTAAAGTTACTAGAGCGGATATAGTAGTAGTTTAGCGCTAGTATAGGCTTGCTAGAGTCCGTTTCTATAGTAGGTCTAGTAGCCTTATACTTCTATAGTCTATTTAATACCGCCCTCTTTCTATTTAGTATAGCTATTTAATTAAGTAGCTCTTACTATATCTCTACGCTATAATACTAGAGATTATAGGTATTTATAGTTATAGGGCGTCGAAGTTTAGAGCGAGTTAGTAGCGAGTCTATAGCGATATACCTTACGACTTATAATAAATATTCTTCTTTTCTTCCTACTAGTAAGTATACGACTAAGGCTAAAGCTAAAGCTACGCTAAGAATAAGGTCGCGCGGAATACTAGTTATAGCGGCTACTACTATTAATATCGCTATCGGTATCGCTCTTGCTATTAATATCGATATTAATAGAAGAAGAATATTATAAAGTAAAGCTCGAAGTTATAGCGAGTCTAAGTAAGGTTTATCGCGATAACAGGCATAGTAAGGTTAGTAAGGAAGGTATAGGAATAATAGGGAGCGATAATAGGCCTAAGTGAAGCTCTTGAGCCTCTGGTATATATAGAGCTCCGTCCTTGTCGGGACTCGGACTCGGAAGCACTGCAGTTCCTCACCCAAGCCAAGCTGCTAAGGCTGGGCGACATCTCGCACTCCGCTGCATCGAATCACCACGCCTCGTTTGAGGCCAAGAACGTCTGTACGGCGAACAAGCCTTGCCAAACAAACACGTGCGCCGTCATGATCATGAGGAGGAGCACAGCGGCCGCGCAAATGACACTCTCCTCCATCCTTTCGCACCGTGCCGTCCTCACCACCCGCAACGCCGTCGCCGAGAGCCGATGGAGTGTGAAGTCGTGAAGTGCATCGCCGCCGAAGCCAGACGGACCTTGCGCAGCCGCAGCAGACAAGATGCGCGGCGTCGGCGTGACATCCGCCTTGTGCGTGCTGCTCTCTCGCGCCCGTGCACAAGAGGCCACCACGACGCCCGCCAGCCCCGCCAACGCATCTCCCCCCGCGACCACGTCCACAGTATCGCTTTTCCTTCCCATCGGCAGTCCCGAGCACATTGACGCTTCCATCATCTCTGCGGTGAGTCAGCAGCGCGTGGTGATGCTTTATTCCAATGAGATGTGCCTCGTGGCAGCAGGCAGCACCCTGTATTCTATAGCATACTGATCGAGCGCGGATAGGCCCCAGACCAAACAGCATACGCGCTGGGCTGTACGAACAATGACACCACGACGGGATGCGGTTGGCATCCACCAATCACGCTGACAGAGGGCGAGAGCACCATTATTTATAGCCACACGGATACGGATGGCGAGCAGGAGTATGAATGCTCCATGCCATGCCATGCGCAAAGCATATCTTGCTGACCTCACCCCCAGATATCTCACCTACGACATACCTGACCTGACGATGCAATGTGAATTGGTTGGCGCCCACACCACAGAGAGCCCCTTCGAAGGTGCCACCTCAGCAGTATGTGTCGCCTCTTCTACTGTCTCGGGACTGGGAGTCGTGGTCACGACTTCGACGCTTGCCAGCACTCAGGTCAACTATTTTCCGGTCACGATCACTGCCGGCATGCAGAAGATCATTGAAGCTTCACATTCCGCTGCAATGGCTTCTGCCACGAGCGAGACCAGCGCTGCCGGAGCTCCTATCATCACAGCCATGGCTGCCATGGGAATTGGAGCTGTGGCTGGAATGGCCATCCTTGGCGCACTCTGATATTCTATCGGCTAGAATATCATGCACACAAGCCTGGCTCAGCCTCAATGCGAGCTATTGAATGGCATTGTCTGGGAATTTGCGTTGCGACAAGAAGCCGGCGATTAATCGGGTAGAAAGAAGGAAGAGGTCGGTCTGTCGTTGCAGAGTGTTGCATTCCGAAAAAAAAAAGAAGAAAAAAAAAATGGCGAAGTGCTGAGCCGGTCAGTCTCGAATGCAATGATCTTGCCATCGGCATGATGGCTTATTAGAGATTTGTGAGCCGCATACATGAGTGCGTCTGCAGCAGTCCTGATGATGAAATGAAGCATAGACTATAGGATCGAGGCCAGTGGAACTGCCGTGCCTCGGACGTGTTGCGAAAAGCGTACGTAGTAGTATGGAGATGAACGACCTCGAGGCTGCAGCATAACATCAAAGAAGGCGAAGTTCCCTTCGTACCTGACTATTCTAATCTCCCATTGGTCAACTCAACTCAACCCTCAGGCTGTGACCGCGACACGTCAGCAAGGATGTGCTTCCATGGAACCACGTTGAGCGAGTCGCAGGGCTGGCACATCACGACATCTTGATTGACAACACTTTGAGGAGGAAGAGTGAAAGAATCTTTCGCGGGATGCGAGAGTTTACATCGAAGCGTGATAATGCTCGATCGACTTCAGCGTACATCTCTCTCATCTTGTTGTTGTTCTCTCTCTCTCTCATCCCAATCCGGACAGAGCAAGATGATGAAAGAATCTTTGTTGCCTCGTCACCCTCCTCCTCCTCCACAGCAGCAGCAATCAATCATCATGTCCCAAGACCTAAAACTAAAACCAAAATGTCACCACCCCATCGCCCGGCATCAGGTGGAAATCGCTCCACCACCACCCACCTCCGCTCCAATGCCCTGATGCAAAAAATCACAAAACCCGCCGCAGCGGGGAGTGTAGTAGATAGGACCGAAGCGGTGGCACAATTGAGTCATGTGGAGTACACTGCGGAATTTTTCGGAACTCTGGCGTCGCAGACGAGGAGTTTGAGGAGGAGGTTAACGGGAGGGGGGGAGGAGGATGTGGATGTGGAGATGGGGGAGAGATCGCCAGGTCGTCGTCGTCGTCGATATCCGTGCAGGTTACGGGTTGAGAATGGAAGGATTTCACGACCGTATTCGGGGCGTCCACGTTCGGAGATATATAATTACCGAGAGGTGTTGTCGCCGGTGGAACGGCTTCCGCCGCGGGCGTGGCGGCGGCAGAATGCGCATCGTTTGAGTCCCGTTTTTGAGGAGTCGGGGTCGGAGTTGGAGGATGATGGGGAGATCACGGCGGTGTTTGCCTATACGGGCTTTCTGGCGGAAGCTGATGATCGGATTGATCCTAGGACGGGATTTGCGGTGCCGCCTCCATGGATCAGGTTCAAGTACAGTCGCGAAGGGAAGGCTGTGATTAAGGGTTACAGAGAGGACTGGAGAGGTTTGGAAGACTTTTTGCCGCCGCATCCTTGGGCTGGAGAGGGTGGGAGGTATGGAAATGTGACCTATGCAGATAGGAGGCCTTGTCACAGCAGTGCTCACGAAGCACCGCGAGCGCCGAAGGCGAGGAGGGTGCAGACGCCTGGCTGGGCGTTAGATCTTGGCCACGGAGAGCGGTAGCGTAGTGCCGAGATGCAGAATAATGAGAAGTTCCCGATGCGGACAGGCTTTTCAACACTTTCTTTGTGCGTCATGAATGTGACCTGAAGTCTTGTTCCGGTTAATGTCGAGAGTTCCGCATCCGGCGTGTAAGCTTGCACAATAGCCTGGTCGGCTTTGTCTCCATCAATACAAGATGTATCATCGTTGCAGAGGATTCGCAGCCGCTCTCCCATTCACCACATACCACGATGCAGTTCAAGGACGACGACGACGAGATGCTCCCGCTCGGCCGCGAGCCGAGCCAACACCTACCTTCCTGGAGAAGAAGAGGACCAAGAGCTCCTGAGGACGGATTCGGGCTTCGACCTGCGTACTTTTCGCGTGAATACAGTACCTGGTGGGAGAAGGCCTACGGATTTCCCATCGGGAGTGTTGACGTAGCTTGCCGACACCACATCGGCGGGTCCACATATGAACAGGTTCTGGAGAAGCTGATGTAGGTCCTTGCAGAGGAGTCGTGCGAGTGAACATCAGACTGACTTTTGTAGGCACCATGGCATCGAGGAAGACGAAGACGGAAGTCTTCTTTATCCACCAGCGGAAATTCTTGGTACCAAAGCGTTCAAGGCCAAGATGGAAAAGCAGAATGATCCAAACGCCAGGCGCAGGAAGAGGAACGAGGAACTCCGAACGCAACGAGAATTTGAGGAGTACGAGGCGCTAAGACGACCACCAACGCCACTCGATGAGGTTCTCCGACAAATCAGAGAGGAAGAGATCAAACACGATGTGGCGGAGAAAGCTGCCGCCAATGGATCCGCTCCGAAGGTCAGGGCAAGACTCAACACCAATAACATTCCCCAGCAAACAGGACAGCCGGGCGGGAACCAGCGTCGTTCGCCAGAGCGGCCTCCACCCACATACAGTCCTGGGTACCAGCGTCGTTCGCCAGAGCGGCCTCCCCCTACATACAGTCCTCCTCGTGGGACACCACCATCCTACGCTGCGGCTCACGGCATCAGACGCCGAGGTGCCCTTGCGGTCCGTCGTCCTCGGGGAATACTAGGGCCTCCACGCATTCCAACCCCAGAATTTGAGCGAGTAGAGCATCCAAACTACGACTCCGACGACTTCTTGGCAGAGCCGGCTGAAGAGACATACCCGACTGGAACCGGTCGCTACGACAATGATTTCAATGGTCTGAGACGCAGCAATGCCGTTCGCCGGCCAGTCCAGTATTCTGGAATCAGGACTGCATATGATCCTGCTCCTCCTCGCGACAATGCCATGTCCAGACCGGTGAGAAGGTCTCCATCATGGGAACGAAACTCGCCCTACGGCAGAAGGTCCAGTATTCAGAGGACACCGCCGCGGGTCGAAGTGGTCCCCGACAATATCCCAAGGTTGTTCGGCTACGACGGGCCACCACGCACGCCGCAACGCGCTTTCAGTTATCGTCGAACTCCACCTCCGACGCCTCAAGCAGAACACGTGAGACGTGTCCCGAGTGATGAGATTGCTGTTCGCCGCAGCCGAAGCTTCAGTCCCAGCCCACCGAGCTCTCCAACCAGGGGTCCTCCGCGTCGCAGCAGGCGTATTGCTGCTGGTCGTGTCCAGAAGAGGTCGCCATAGATTTCCTAGGTAGCATGTCTTTGATAACTGTTTCATGTCCCGGACTCAAGCATCTCATGAATTCGTGTGCGGTTCTCTCGCCATCTCAAATGTGCCACAGCCTGCAATAGACAGTCTGCGAGATCATCTAACTTCCCTCCCGCCAGCAGTTGCGCGGCCTTGCTGTTACGTTTTGGGACAGTGAAGGCTTCGGCGATCTTAGCAGCATCATTCTCAAAAGTCAAATGCACGTCTGATTCACCGCGTATCCAGGAGCGCACAATTTCGACCTTGTCGCCTTTCTCAATCTTTTCGCGGCCTGTTGCAGCAAGCTTGAGAAGCTCAGCAGTGCCAGCATTCTGGAACATGTCCAAAGGTGGGTGCAATGGAACGTCCTTGCCTGCGATCCAAAAGGCTGCAACACGTTTTGGACTGATGGAGTGAATATCTGGGAACAGCACTGTGCCGCTGATCGATCGCAGCGTTTCGAGACATGCCCATATCATGCTTTCTAGCATATTGACTCTGATAGTCCATTCCAGAATTGTAGCTGCACTGCCTGATCGGAAGCGCTGACGTTCGATCAGAATGTCATCTGGCTCGTGACCCAGCAATTCTCTGGTGATGCTGTATGCTGTCCGTGACATTGATGAAGGGAGAAATGCCGTTTTGTCCAGCATTGAAGCGTCTTTCTGTCCAACTTGCGCTGTAGAGATACCGGAGGCCTCTTCCTTCAGAGACGCCGCGTGAGCTCTAGCAGAAGCATTCAGAAGATCCATGCGTTTCCACGTTTTCACTGCCAATGCCTTCCCTGCTTCGCCAGCGGGTCTTTGAATCACACAATATGCCAGGTTTCGGATTCCCATGTCTACGCTGACGATTTTCCGAGCATTGAAACCACGCTTCTCCGATACTTGAAGCCGTGGACTGTGATGCAGCGCCGCTTCCAGGTCAGCCTTCGTGCCCGTGGAAGCAACTCCCGTGAGGAATGCCCAGTATTTGAGCTGCCAAAGTCTCAGGCGTGGCCGCGTCAGCTTGTCCATGGTGGGGGTAGAAGAGACTGTCGACGTGCTTCAGACATATCGGCATGCCACGGGGAAGCGGTCGATGCCTGCTGTCACGATGAACGTAAAGTCGATGTTGATGAGTTGATGGATGCTTCATGTGAAGAATGCGGAAAAGGAGAGTTCAGCATTGGCCACCTACCGTTCGGCGTGCGGGATGTCTTGGGACCCACGTACGTAGCGATGGCCAGTCTTGTGGACTTGTCTGCTCTGGCATTATCCATCGGGGCCTCATCAGAAACGTCAGGTGCTTGGTGAAATCGTCATGATTGAGATGTCGCGGACAAAGATCTCTCTTCCGCGATTGAAGTCCGCATTCAGCCTCAATAGAGTTGGGGCTACGCGAGCTTACGTACGCCAGATTCTGGTGAACTAGAATATCGCGGAGCCAGCTGATCAAGGAGCACGGCGCACACTCGCTCACGCTCAACATGCTGCACTGAACGAACAAACAGCAGACACGATGTTATGCTATGGCCAGAGAGAACCCAACCACCCGCGAAGCTGCCCGCAAAGGCGGCAGCGAGGAAGAAGCAGCCGGACTTCTGCAGCATGTCACCATCCAGGACCGAGACAGTATTGGCGTTGGAGATGAAGACGACCTTGTGCTTTTCGACAAGCCTGGATCACCGGGAAAACCGCCGTCTCCAGGCGCGCCGCAAAGACAATCAAGCTTCGCACAAAATCGCCCGCATGGACAGCCACGAACGCCGCATCGAGTGCGATTCGACGTCGCCGAGCCCGAAACCATTCTTGAAGCCAATGGGCACGCGCATCCTCATACGTGGACAGAAGATGAGAATTACATGAATGGCGATGTGTCGTCAGGTGGCCAGCTGCGAGCGCCACTTCTGACCGGCATCGAAGCACCAAGCGTAGCACTCGCAAACGACATCGAGTATCACGAGGACCTGCTGGCGGAACGACCCAAGAGTGGGCTCAAGAGCGCGTTCATGAACATGGCCAACAGTATCATTGGGGCTGGAATCATCGGACAACCATATGCGTTCAAGCAAGCGGGACTACTCACCGGCATAACTCTTTTGATCCTTTTGACCATCACCGTGGACTGGACGATCCGATTGATTGTCAAGAACTCGAAGCTGAGTGGGACAAACTCGTTTCAAGAGACTGTGGAACATTGCTTTGGAAAGTCGGGTCTGGTCGCGATATCTGTGGCGCAATGGGCGTTTGCATTTGGAGGCATGGTCGCATTCTGCATCATCATCGGAGACACGATCCCACGAGTGCTGGCATCGATTTTTCCCACCCTCCACGCCATCCCAGTTGTGGGCCTCCTTACGGATCGAAGGGCCACCATCGTGCTCTTCACGCTCGGCATATCATATCCCCTGTCCCTCTACCGAGACATTGCCATGCTTGCCAAAGCCAGTACCCTGGCCCTGATCTCGATGCTCATCATCATCCTCACAATCGTAGTCCAAGGCTCCCTCGCACCCTCCGACGTCAAAGGCCCCATCAAAGGTTCCCTTCTCATCAACTCCGGCGTCTTCCAAGCCATCGGAGTCATCTCCTTCGCCTTCGTCTGCCACCACAACTCCCTCCTCATCTACGGCTCCCTCCGAACTCCCACCATGGACCGTTTCGCCACAGTCACGCACTGGTCCACGGGAGTCTCCATGCTCGCCTGCCTCATCGTCGCGTTAGCAGGATACCTGACCTTCGGAAGCCAAACGCAAGGAAACGTCCTCAATAACTTCCCAAACGGAAACTTCATGGTCAATCTCGCTCGCCTCTGTTTCGGCCTCAACATGCTCACCACCCTCCCACTCGAATGTTTCGTGTGCAGAGAAGTCATGACATTATATTACTTCCCCGGCGAAGCTTTCAATCCCAACCGACACCTGATCTTCACGACAAGCTTGGTGCTTTCGGCTATGGGCATGGCATTGATCACATGTGATTTGGGAGTCGTGTTTGAATTGGTGGGTGCGACGAGTGCTTGTGCGTTGGCGTATATTCTGCCTCCGCTATGTTTCCTGAAACTTAGTAAGAAGGCGCGGACGTGGGAGCATTGGAGCGCGTATGTCTGTTTGGGGTTTGGGACGCTGGTGATGGGGATTTCTTTGATACAGGCTATGGTGAAGATGATTCGGAACGATGGAAGGAGTGCGAGTTGTGATGTGGGATGATAGATATAGATTTTTATTTGGACCATGATGCATTTTGTGCTGAAGCCGTTCTGTCTGTCTCGTCCCATTGAAGCTGGCTGTCTGCAACATTTGACTTGTGCCATGGTAATGCGGGGAGGCGTGAGCGGAAAGAGTAGTGTGAAAGCTGCTCGTGTATTAGCTCTGGGATAAGTCGCGACGAAGATGTTGACAGGCGGGCAGTTCGAGCATGGCACGTCCAGATATCTGCCGCATGCAGGTACGCTGATGAAAGCACGCTGGCGACATGGTGGTGATGATGCTGCCTTGGAGAAGGGCGAAGGCGAAGACTTCGTGGCCTTTAAGCTGGATACCACGTTGCCGTACCATGCGACAAACAGATGGCATCAAAGTCAGCGGCACGCGTGAGAAGCATGAAAGAGGAGGCGATGGATTGGATGTGGCCCAAACTGATTCCGATCTTCTCCTTGCCCGCATAACGAGGGAATCAAAGACCGGCGCCCAGCAACGGACCAAATCACTCTATGCGCAGCGCGAAAACAGTCAAGCCAATGCGATTGAGCCAGCTGCCGATCAGTAAGTAATGTGTTTGAAGCTGGCACCATAATGTAGATGGAGAAGAAGAAGATGAGAAACGCTGGAGAATGGACGGAGGTTTTCAGCGTGCCAAGCTTGGGCTCGGACCGCTCCGGTCCATATGATTTTAGTGGGGACGTGGCATTCAGGGCAGGGAAGCTACGAAGTCGAAGTGGTACACCTGGAATCTTTTGGCTGAGGACAGCCATTCACTCTGCTGCTGCTGCTAAGCCGACACGATTCGCTCACACCTCCACCGCAGAGAACTTGGCCTGGCCTTGCATGAGCGAGCGATAACTCCCAGCGCCACCACCACCTCCCACCTCCCACCTCCACATCTCACACGCCATCGACATCGACATCGCCCGCTATGGACTACGACGCCCTCAAGGACCAATGGTCCGACATCGAAGACCGCGACGGAATCCGCCTGTCATGGAACACTTTTCCCTCATCGCGCATGGAAGCCAGCAGACTCGTTGTGCCCATCGGCGCACTCTACACACCGCTGAAAGAGAAGACCGACGGAACTCCCGTGCTTCAATATGAGCCTGTCACATGCAAACCGCCATGTCGAGCCGTCCTGAACCCTTTCTGTCAAGTCGACATGCGAGCGCGCATCTGGATCTGCCCATTCTGTCTGCAGCGAAACAACCTCCCTCCACACTACAAAGACATCTCCGAGAGTCAGATCCCGCCAGAGCTCCATCCCGGCAGCACAACCATCGAATATCGATTGGCACGACCTGCCCCCACTCCACCCATCTTCCTGTTCGTTGTCGATACCTGTCAAGAGGAGGACTCTCTCAAGGCGCTCAGAGACAGCATCATCAATGCTCTCTCCTTCCTGCCTCCACATGCACTGGTCGGTCTCATCACATATGGCACCATGGCCCAGGTCCACGAGCTCGGATACACAGAATGCGCCAAGTCGTACGTTTTCCGAGGCAACAAGGACTACGGCGCAAAGCAGGTGCAGGAGATGCTTGGTCTGGCCGGAGCTGGTGCGCGACCGGGAATGCAGCCACAGCCACAGCCAGGTCGCCCGGCCGTTCCAGCGGTTGGAGGCGCGCAAGCACGCTTCCTGCTCCCAGTCTCGGAGTGCGAGTTCCAGCTCACAAACGTCCTCGAGAGCTTGACCAAGGACCCTTGGCCAGTCGCGAATGACAGGCGAGCCATCCGATGCACTGGTGTCGCCTTGTCAGTCGCAGTTGGCCTGCTCGAGACCAGCTTCCAAAACTCCGGTGCTCGTGTCATGCTCTTCACTGCCGGTCCTGCGACCGAAGGACCTGGTATGGTTGTTGGTCCCGAGCTCAAGGAGCAGATCCGATCCCACCACGACATCGATCGGGACAACATCAAATACTACAAGAAGGCGCTGAAGTTCTACGACACTCTCGCCAGGCGCGCAGCTCACAACGGACATGTCATTGACATCTTTGCCGGCTGTTTGGATCAGGTTGGTCTGCTTGAGATGAAGGGTCTATCCAATAGTACTGGCGGCCACATGATCTTGACAGATTCCTTCGGATCCTCCATGTACAAGCAGTCTTTCTCCAAGATCTTCGACGCAGATGCGAACGGAAACCTTCTCATGGGATTCAACGCATCGCTTGAGGTCCTCACCACCAAAGAGCTGAAGGTCACTGGTCTTATCGGTCATGCAGTGTCGCTCAACAAGAAGTCCACTTCGGTCGGCGAGACTGAATGCGGTATCGGCAACACCTGCTCGTGGAAGATGTGCGGCATTGACCCAGCTGCTTCGTACGGTATCTACTTCGAGATCGCAGGCCAAGGCGGGCCAGCAGCACCCATGCAGCAAGGACCTCAGAAGGGCCTCATCCAATTCCTCACGTACTACCAGCACAGCGGTGGCCAATATCACCTCCGCGTGACGACTGTTGGCCGAAACATGAGCGGACCAAGCGGTGACCCGGCCATCGCTCAATCATTCGACCAGGAAGCTGCCGCAGTCCTGATGAGCCGCATCGCTGTCTTCAAGGCCGAAGTCGACGATGGCCCTGATGTCCTCCGATGGGTTGACAGGATGCTTATCCGACTCTGCTCGCGCTTCGCCGAGTACCGCAAAGACGACCCATCCTCTTTCCGCCTCGAGAAGAACTTTACGCTTTATCCTCAATTCATGTTCCACCTCCGAAGATCACAATTCTTGCAGGTCTTCAACAACTCTCCTGACGAGACTGCTTTCTACCGACACGTTCTGAATCACGAGGACGTGTCGAACTCGCTCATCATGATCCAGCCCACGCTCGACAAATACACCTTTGATCAAGAGGGAGCTGTACCGACGTTGCTTGATTCCAGCTCGATCGAGCCGCAAACGATACTGCTCCTCGATACCTTCTTCCATATTCTGATTTTCCATGGCGAGACGATGGCAGAGTGGCGAAAGGCTGGATACCAGGACGTGGAAGGATACGAGAACTTGCCGAGCTTCTCGACGCTCCTAAGCAGGATGCAAAGGTACGATCGCTCCACTCGTATCCATAACACAACCTGCTGATGTGACCTCACGAACTCATTCAAGACCGCTTTCCACTCCCACGATTCATTGTGTGCGACGCTGGCCGCTCACAGGCTCGTTTCCTGCTCGCCAAGCTCAACCCATCGACGACACATACGTCTTCAAGCTACGGCGGTGTCAGCCAGACCGCACAGACTATCTTCACCGACGACGTCTCTTTGCAGACATTCATGGACCATTTGATGAAACTTGCTGTTAGCGGTACGGGATAGATGGTGGCATGAAAAGTGGTGGAGTGCATACAGAGCGCCGGCGTTGAGGAATGGAAGCGAGTTCGGGGCGAAACATTTGTTTAGGCGAAGTAAGGTATTGTCTGAAGGTAGACTTTGAACTGAAACTCATATTGATGAATGCGAAATTTCTGAGACCAGCCCACCTTGAAGGATCCAAGTCATTCAGTCGCATGCAATACTGTCCCATCGATCCACGTCCGGAAAGTGAGGGTCCTGCTTACCTCAAGGTCAAAGGTGAAGTTCTGGTGCTTGGACATACGGAGCTACTGGTTATGGCTATACCATTTCGTTCCCTACACGTCTGGAAACCAGGCGGGTAAGAAGTCACATCGCACCAGATTCTAACGCTTCTTCTACTCAAGTCTCGCCTCGCTCGGCTACCTGCCAGTAGTACGGTACTTTATCGAATTTCAGTGGCCTTGGCTCTAAGACTGAGATGCTGCTACCTGCAGAATCTAGGAATATAGGTGCCTTGATATCTCTTCGGATATACGAGGTATTTCGAAGCCGAGTGCTCTTATAATATACTATAGATATCGCTATCGCTAAAATTTCCTACGTTAACTTACTCTATAAAAACTTAATTTATTACTATAAGAACTATATAAGTATAATCGAGATATATTACTACTATCTACTTCCTTACCCTCTTTCTTATATCCCTAGTTGTGGTTATCTGTACTAGAAGTACTTTTGACTATAACTCTAATAGCGCGATAAATGATTTTAATTATTAGTATAGTAAAGATTACAATATTTATACTACTAGAGGGTATAGAGAAAAACTTACGTTATAAAATAAAAAGAAAGATTCTATATCCCTACGAATTAAAGTTTTTCTTCGTATAGTATAATAGTAGTTAAACTCTCTATACGCTATCTACTAGGTAAATTATTATTTTTTTTCCTTCTATATATACTAAGAGATATACGAAGAAAGAATAGAGTTTAATAACTAGTTTTGTTTTTTTCCTATATTTAGAAAGGGAAATTATAATAGTTTATATTATTATCTAGCGTCTCTATTATAAGGCCGTCTACGACGAATATAGGCTATTTAGTTTTAGAGAGAGAGTTTTATTCTATAGTATTTAAAGTTTAGATAGGTTAGAAGAATATAGATCTAATAGGTATTTATATTAAGTACTACGATATAGAGATTATTAAAGATAAAAATATAGGCTTATTATAAAGATTTTATATAGTATAGGTAATAGATATATTAACGCTTCCTCCTCTAGGATTATTCTCGCCTATCTCTAGTAGAAATTCTTTTTTCCTCTAGGGTATATCTTAAACGTAGTATCGATAGTTGCTTTAGAATTATAATTATATATATAATATCTAGCCTAGGTCTTATAAAATCTATAGATTGTCGGTATCCTAAGTTTAAGACTATTCCTTCTTCTAGGAGTTAACCCAGCAGTTTAATTAAAGAATTACTTATAGTATAAAATAAAAGTTTATAGTAAGAAACACTACGAACGGCTTTAAGAGTAGTAGTTTAAGAAAATATCGGATGCTCGCTTCTCGCTAATAGTAGAGTCTTTAGTTCGGTATAAGCTATCTAAGATTCGTAATCGTATTTCTAGAATTAGTAAGAAATACGTTAGTGTGTAATTATTAATTATAGGATATCCGATTAGACTATAGAATAATAGAATTAATAAAACAAACTAGAAGCTCTCTAAGATTCTACTTATACGCTACCTCGCCTCTTAGGATTCGTAATAAGCTTAGAGTAGTAAAGTATATAGGCCGAGTCCTTATTACCGGGCTATTCTCCTAGCTTTCTTCTCTATAGTTAAGGATAGGAGAATACGAAGCGGTATCGTAGCGCTATTCGACCGCGTAGTATCGTTTTCTATAATACTATAGAGCTAAGAAATAGTACTAAACGTTAGCTCGCTAGAGGACCCAGTAGTAAGGTAGACTCGCTAGAGGTTAAGGTATATCCTCTCTATTCTATAGATATTAAATACTAAATATTTAACTTTAAGATTTACCGCTCGTATTTATATTTACTATTAAATATTAGTAAATACCTATATTTAATTTATATTTAATATAGCCTTAGTATAATAGGAAGCCTAGCTAGTAACGACTAGAACTAAGAATAAGGGCATTCCTAACGGTATAGTCTTATAGAATAGCTAATTATATAACTCGCCGCTATTTTTAGCTTCTATACCTAATTATAGTATATCTAATAGTAAGTCGGCTACGCTAGTACGTTACTACTACTTACTATATAGCCTATATACTATTACTAGGTTTAATATATCTACCGTATCCTTCTCGACCGATATACTACTAGTAATACCGCTAGTAACGAGAGGCCTATTATCTCTACTATTCGGCTTGTATTCTATCGCTCTAATCTTCTTATAACCTATAACTGCCTCTTACGCCTTAATCTCGTCTATTTTCTCTTCTAGCTCTATACTAAGCGTACTAACGTTATAAACCGTATCTTTATTAATATCGGATTAGTAGCTATCGTTACTATTATCGCTACTAGATAGAGCGCTATAATTATAATACTAAAGAAGTAGTTAAAATATCCTTTAAGGCTTAAAGCTAATCGGAGAACTAACGAGTTAAAAAAAGAGCTAGTTGCGGAGTCTGAAAAATAGTGGTAGCGCTATCCTTAATGCTAGCCTAGTAAGCGCTATCTATAGTAAAGCGCGTCCTATATACCCTAGCTATATAGGAGCTCCTATATAAACTACTCTAGAGTCTAGCCGACAAACCTTTAAAGAGATATAAACCTAAACTCCCTAGCTACTCGATACGATCTTACTAGTAGGAAGCCTACTACGTTCCCTCCCTCTTCTAACTAGAAATCTAAGATCTTTTAAGACTCTTAGCCTCTTTTTTTTTAAGTCTTTCTACTTATCTTATTAAATCCTACTATCCTACGTAAATAGATCTATTAGGGCTAAAGAGGCTATACGTAATTAGTATATAACCGGACCGAGTAAAGCTAGGGTCTTAGTGCCTTAGGCAGGGCTTAGCGCTTAGCGTTAGGCTAACTAGCCCACCTTCCTCCTTCTCCTCCTAGATCCTTATCGAATACTACTATACCTGCTACTACCCTATCTACCTACTAATATAACCCTTCTTATATAGTACTCGATCTACCCTTTAAGGGTAGTAGCTAGATAGTCCTTATTTCAAGCTTTTAGTAGTATAGCTATAAAAACTATCGATTTAACTATATTACGCCCGAAGAACGGGACCTATACGTACTATTCCGCTAAAAACAACCGTACTAATTATTAAGCAAGGCCTTCTATACGGCCTATTACACTAAGTTAAGCACACTAGGCCGATATCTACTAACTCCGCTACATCCGCACTATAAGGGGCTATAATATATTATTAGTACTACCCCTTATTATAATAGCCGGCTCGTTACGAAGCAACAATAACCGCGGCGCTACTAGTAGCGCTAGCAATAACAATACTAGTAGTATAGAGCCTACTAAAGTGCCCGCTAAAGGGCCTACTAAAGAACCTATAGTTCTAGGTAATAATCTAGAATTGCCTATTAATAACATTCTTAATAACATTGTTAACCGACGATATAGCTAACTAGCCTTTAGGCCCTAACTAGTAGGGAGACTTTAAGAAGCTACCTAAAACAGGCTGACTGCCCTACGTTAAGAATAGTAGCTAAAGGACGACCTCCTCGAGCTCCGTTACCTTTAGGAAGCCCCGATAACTACTACTAAACTAATAGTAGGACCTTCCTTACTATTAGCCTAAAAGAAGAATACTAAGCTTAAGGATTATACTATATTTAACGGCTCTAGTCGCAAGCAGTATAATAATTATATACGTAATTGTAAATTAAACTAGCGGAATGTACCGAGGGCCCTTCTAGACGACTATTTATTAGTTGTCTATGCTATATAGTATATTAATAGAGACCTAAAGCGCACCTAGGATAACTATTTTAACTCCCTTAACGATTAGACTACTGTTTAGTAGCAAACCTATAAAACTATTATACTAGACACCCTTAGAAACCCTATACTAAGGCAATAATATACTTAGGACTAGTACCTTCGAGCTAAGCAAAAGACTAATTAATCGGCCCGCTTATTCGAGGCCTATTTAAAGATCCTTAAAGACGACCTTCCGGCTAAGACTAATTCTATATAGATCTCCGAGATACGCCTAAAACTTAGGTAGGAACTTATCCTCGAATTAGACCGTCGCCGTATGTTTAAATAGGCTAACCTAATACGCATTCAATTTATAGTTAAAGTAGAAACAGCTAAACGAGCTATCTAGCTTTAATAACGACTAGAATCGAGGATCCGACTAGCTAGTACTAACCGTAGCAACCGTAGCCGTAGAGGTAATAGCTAAGGTTCCTACTAGAACAATAATACTAATAATAGGAATAGTAATAACGACCGTAGAAGAGGCCGTAGCCGGCGGCTATATAGAGGAGGCCGTAATAGGGGCCGTAGAAGGGGCTCGTATCCCTATAGTACTAACTACTCGACTAATAATAGTAGCTATAGCAACCTCCTAACTAGACTAAAGTGCTTTAACTATAATAGTACTAGCTATCTACTAGGCTAATACGACAAACCTAGGGATTAGACTCGAATCGACCGTACTACCGCTAAGTACGGAAAGCACCTCTTAGTAGCTAACGCTACCCCTATAGGCTAACCTTCGAAAAAAGAATAAGCGCCGTACTAACTATTAGCCTTATACGGCGTAAGACTATCGACATTATACTAGCTATTATACGTACCTATCTTATATAGGATACGTGTAGAACTAACTATAAGACTAAGGTTACGCTAGATCTAGGAAATTCAGTTAGTGCCCTTATTAGCTATCGCTTAGCTAAGCAATTAGACCTTCGACAATTAAATAGAGCTAACCTACTAACCCTTGCTTAGTTTAATAACGCTTAGCACTTAACCTATAGGGCCTACTATATTCCTATAGTCCTAAGAGACGACCTCGGTAATAAGCGCTTATTAGATTTTACCGCCTATATAGTAGATATAGATAGCCTCCCCTCCGATATTATTATTAGCAACCCTATTCTTAAGTACTACGCTATTATAATAGACTTAGGTCTCTAATAATAGCGATTTAGAATCGCTAAGAAAGAGGATATTAAGTATATTAATATTAGCGAGTGCCCTAACGATACGTTATAAAAACTTTTTTTCCGATCGCGACGATCCTATCGATAGGATCGCTTAGGATCGCTTAGGATCCTTAGAATCCTTAGGATCCTCGGGATCGTACGTTAAAGATCTTATCGGATAGGATCGCTCGTAATCGCGGGGCCGCGATCCTATCGATAGGATCCTTACGATCGAAATTTCGGGACGGGCCGTCCCGAATTCGAGGCCTAGGAACGTAAAGGACGCGGGGCAAGTAGCCGTAAGTTAGAGCCCGACTACTCTATATACTACTACTACGAGGAGGTATTTTAGGGGATTACGTATTACTATAGGTTAAATTTAGCGGTTTCGTAGGTTTTTTTTATAAATAAATTTTTTTCGTTAAGGTTTCGTTAAATGCAGCCGATATTTCGTTAAGGTTTCTTTCAAAAGCCGACGCTTAATAAGTAGAACTTTGAAAAAAAGTACATTCGAAACACTCGAGATTCTTTTCTAGATTCTAAGATAATTACTAGGTATTAAGACTTGAAACTTTATAATACTCTTATTAGTAGGTAGAACTTTAAGTTCTATTTTTTAAATTTCTAAAAATAGTAAAGTATAACTTAGAAAAGCTAAAATACTATATTGCTTATTTCTATTCCCTAGCTTTAGTTTCGTAGAAAATCTATAAATTTTATATTTTTTTATAATAATATACTAAAAATAGAGTACCTTTTTACTATATTACTAAGCTATAAACCTACTAGAAAAAAAGATAAATTAGAAGCAAAATGTCTAGAAAAGCGATTTTCTTTCCTTTATATCTTTTTATCTAGAAGGTTTACGGCTTAGTAATATATAACAAAAATGTTCTATTTTTAGTGTAGTATTAGGCAAAAGTCTAACTTTTATAAGTTACCTATTTATCGTTCTAGGACAGCTTAGGATCGCTCGGGATCGCTCGGGATCGCTCGCGATCGCTAGGATCGATAGGATCGTCGCGATCGGAAAAGAAGTTTTCGTAACGTATTAGGGTCCTATTTATTAGCAACCTAATACCTGCCTTAGCCGATCTAATAGTCGACCTATTAGATAATAACGATAAGCCTATGCCCCCTAATAGTATAGACCCTAATTAGCTCGCTCGTATACTATAGCCTATTCGCGAAACCTATATTAATATATTTAAACACTACCTAGTATCGATATTGCCTATATTTAAAGAGACTAACTATAAGATCGATATTATATAGGGCAAGGAGGTTCCTTTTAGGCCCCTCTATAACCTTAGTAAACGAGAGCTTACTATATTATATAAGTACCTAGATAAGAACCTAGCTAATAGTCGAATTTAGTATAGCAATAGCCCTGCTAGTGTACCTATCCTATTCGTACTAAAGAAGGATAGTAGCCTACGCCTATATATCGATTATCGTAGGCTTAATACTATTACTATTAAGGACCGCTATCTACTTCCGCTTATTAACGAGACCCTCGATCGCCTTTCTAGGGCCTACTTCTATACTATATTAGACATTAAGGACGCCTATTACCGCATCCGTATTCGTAAGGGTAACGAATAGAAAACAGCCTTCCGTACTCGCTATAGCTATTTCGAGTATCTAGTTATACTATTTAGCCTAGCTAATACCCCTACTATATTCTAGTCCTATATTAATCGGGCCCTATCCGGTCTATTAGACTATCTCTATATAGTTTACCTAGATAACATCCTAGTCTATATACATTTACCTAACATTATAGAGTACTAGGCTATAGTACGTAAGGTACTTAATCGTCTACGGGCCTATAGGCTATATTATAAGCCTTCTAAATATACCTTTACTACTAAGAAGGTAGCCTTCCTTAGCTTCCTTGTATTAACTAAGGGTATTAAGGCTAATCCTAATCGGATTAAGACTATTACTAAGTAGCTAACGCCTACTAGTATTAAGGAGCTTTAATTATTCCTAGGTTTTACTAACTTCTACTATCGATTTATCGAAGGTTATTTACGGTACGTAATACTACTAACTGAGCTTACTAAAACTAAGGCTAACCTAACTAGAGAGTTTAAATAGACTAACAAAGTATAAGCCGCTTTTAACAGTTTAAAGCAACGCTTTACTAAAGTCCCCTTATTGCGCTATTTCGTACTAAATAAGCAGATCCGTATTAAGACTAACGCTTTATAGTTCGCTATATTAGCTATTATATTATAGCAGGCTAATAACAATTACTAGCACCCGATTGCCTTCTTTTTACGGAAGATAATCGATATAGAGCGCCGATACGAGACCTACGAGTAGGAGCTCTTAGCAATCGTAGAAGCCTTTAAGTACTAGCGCTACTATCTCGATAGTATATAGTACACTATTTAGGTCTATACGGACTATAACAACCTCCGTAGAATTACGAAGGTTACTAGGGTTATAGGTCGATAGGCTAGATAGGCCGTCTACCTCGCTAGGTTCGATTTTAATATACTATATCGGCTAGGCGTAAGTAACTCTACTAATAGCCTATCGAGGCGACCTAATTATAATAGCGAGACTTAGTATATTAATTTATTGTTTCTAACCCTATAGTATAAGATTGCTATAGCCTATATTATTAATAAGTAAGCGTAGGATAAGCGGCTTACTAGACTCCGCGACGGCTTGAAGTGTATTAATGCTCTTGCTATGTTAGTAGTACGTATTAAGGCAAGGGCTAATAATACTAATAGGAAGAGTTACGATAACTCCCTAGTCGATATCGCTATATACAGTAATAGCGATAAGGGCACTACTGTAGTTAATCCGGCTACTAACCCTTAATACTCTTACTATACTAATAGCACGCACTAAGGCAAGGGCTAACAACACTAATAGGAAGAGTTACGATAACTCCCTAGTCGATATCGCTATATACAGTAATAGCGATAAGGGCACTACTATAGTTAATCCGGCTACTAGTACTATTAGAAATACATAACACGTACCTCGTTCGATAGCGAGGGTACTGTTAGGTAACCTTATAAATAGGGAAGGTTAATCGTTTATAGATAAGCTATTATATACTTAGCAGAGGGACGCCTTTGCTACCGAACGTATCGATAAGCTTATAAGTAGGCGAAAGACTCGATCTAGTAAGAGTAATAATTAGTCGATCGACGATAAGGGTTACTTAAAGTTTAAGGGCAGATACTATGTCCCCGCTAAACAATCGATTAGATAAGAGCTTTTAAAGAGGCACTATAATAGTAAGCTCGCTAGTTACTATAGTATAGAGAGGTCGTACGAGCTACTATCGCGTATATACTACTAGCTAAATAGTAAGCGGCATATAAAGGAATATATATAGACCTATATAGTATACTAGCGAGTTAAAGTACTAAAGCACTTACTATTCGGCGAGTTGTCTTTACTTCCTATTCCTAAGAAACTATTTATAGAGCTTATAATAGACTTTATTATAGGCCTTCCGCCTACTAAGCGTAGGGATAGTAGGGATATCTTCGATACTATTCTTATTATAGTAGACCGATTTACTAAAGGCGCTCGTTATATCCCTACTCGGAAGGATTAGACGGCTATTAACCTAGCTATATTACTATAGAATAATATCTTCTATAGCTATTAGGGAACCCCTAAAGGGATAGTCTCCGACCGGGGCTCGACGTTTATATCTTATTATTAGAGTAAGATATGCCTATAGCTAAGACTTAAGCATCGCCTATCTATAGCGTTTTATCTATAAACAGATAGTTAGACCGAGAGGCAGAATGCTACCCTATAGCAGTACTTACGAAGCTATATTAATAAAAGCCCTAATAGATAGGTTAACCTCCTATAACTAGCCGAATTCGTATATAATAATAGTATATATTTATTAACTAAGGTCTTGCTATATATAGCAATAATAGGCTAGAACGCTACTTTGCTATAATAACTATTCACCTCGCTCGAGGCCGAGCGTAAGAAAAGGGAAGCGCGTTAAGTACTAACCCCTAAGATACTAGCGGCTATCGAGAGGGTCTAAAGGATACGAGAAATTTACGCTAAGATAGCTAACAAACTAGCAAAGGCCTAGGCCTATTAGAAGGCCTACTATAACAAGCACTATACGCTAATAACCTTTAAGCAAGGCGATATAGTTATACTAAGCACTAAGAACCTCCGTATCCGTAAACACCTATCGCCTAATAGCAAAACACGCCCTAAACTAGCACTACGGTTTATTAGCCCCTTCCGAATCCGAGAACCGAAGGGCAATACTAGTTAGGCCTACTAGTTATAGCTCCCGCCGTACTATACTATCTATAATACCTTCTATATCTCGCTCCTTAAACTATACTACTACCGCGGAGGCCCTAAAGAAGCCTCTACTAAATATAAAGAGATACTAGCTAACGGCGAGGAACTATAGTCTATAGAATGTATCCTAAAGTACTAGACTAGGCAAGGCAAGAAGGAATACCTATTAAGATAGCAAGGCTATTTACCTAAATAGGACTCGTTACGAGTCCGTAGTAGTTCGGTTTGCGAACTATGAAACGTATATAGTTTGGTTTCTTAGCGGTACCCCTCCGGTTTAGTTCCGGTTTAGTTTTTTACCCCGCTAGTCTAAGCTAGCTTCCGAGAAAATCCGACTAAACTACGACGATATACGACGACATGCGACGACCTCGGATTTAGTCCCGGACGCGACGGGGGCCCTATATTGTATACGCTATACGATTGCATCTATGTTTCGGGCTATTTAGACGTGTTTTAGGAAAGGTTTTTGTCCGTAGCCGGCACGTAGCCGGCAAACCGGTCCGTGCACCGGTTGCTTAGCAAACTAAACCAAACTAAACTAGAATTTCGGCTTAGCAAACCAAACTAAACTAACCTAGACTACTACGGGGTCTAGACTCGTAGGAAGCCGAAGCCTCTTTTAAGGATATAACTAAGTTACTAGATAAGTATTAGACCGGTATAAAGAACAAGAAGAAGGCTAAGCGCCTATAATGTCGCTAGAGAGACCTAGGGCTAATACTACCCCTAGGGTACTATTAAGCTAACTAATTAGAAGCTAGCAATTATTAGCAAAAGACAACGAGGCTATACTACTATAATAAACGCGCACCGAGAGTTAATAAGCGCGCTATAATTATTAACTAATCGCCTACTCTTTTAAGGATTCTGCCTCTTTACTAATATATAAGGCCCTCCTCTTAGTATTTAGGTCCCCCTCTTATTCCTTTATCCTATCGAGGCCTAGGCGGTCGGCGAGGACGGCGCGCGCGCGAATAGTAATAATAATAATAATAATAACGGCGTCGCGCTTACGCTAATAGAAGGCGGCGTACGACTATATTAGTAACGGTAGTACGGAGTGTATTACTAGTTAAAGAAGGAAATCGGAAGTAAGGTAAAGTTAGCGCTAAGGCGGCTAGCGCCGCTATTATTAATATTACTTGCTATTATCGCTATACTTATAAGGGCAACCTTACCTATACTACGGCCTAAGGCTAGAACGTACTATACTAACTAGGTTAAAAGAAGTCGTTCGAAGGGCTTAAGGCTTAAAAGACTAAGTAATTAATAGACTAACTAAGGGCAAAAATATAGAGCTAAGCTAGTCGGGGTCGATCTTACGGATAATAGGTTACTCCTTAATCTTTTCGACCCTTTAAGCGAAGCGAACCTTAACTATTATACTTATAATAGCCTTTACCTATAGAAACTAGACGAACTGCGTTTTTGAAAAAATAAGATTAATTAACAATTAAAGGCTACTAAACCTAACTAATTAGAGCTAGCGAAACTACGAATAATAATAGCCCTCGTAATAATAAGAACAATCCCTCGGGAGCGGACATTTCTAAGTCTTTTAGAGTAGACGTAAAGAACTCGGGTAATATTACTTAGAGCGGAGGTAGTACTATAATACCTCGTATATCTACCTATTATAGTAGGGAAGACGCGCTTGTATTTTAATTAGTCGATAGCCCTTAATTCTTATAGATATATATTACTTTACTTTATTATATATAAGGATAGCGCAGTTAGAGTTAGGTATTATATTAGAAGGTAAGGTTTAATATAGTTATATAATTAGGTAGTTAAGTATTTAATTTAGCGCGGCTAAGGAGCTTATTAGAATTGCTAAGTTAGTAGTAATAGAGGTTAGGATTAGAATATAGAAAGGCTATAAGGGCGCGGCCTTTAGAAGGGAAGCGTATATTAGGGCTAAAGAGGCTATATGTAATTAGTATATAACTAGGCCGAGTAAAGCTAGGGTCTTAATACCTTAGGCAGGGCTTAGCGCTTAGCGTTAGGCTAACTAGCCTGCCTTCCTCCCTCTCCTCTTAGATCTCTATTAAATACTATATTAACCTACTACTACCCTATCTACCTACTAATATAACCCTTCTTATACTTAGCCCCTTTTTCTAAGTCTTTCTTTCTACTTACCCTATTAAATCCTACTACCCTACGTAAACAGATCTTATAGTAAAGTCGTATACTCGGTAAAGAATTCTAAATTCCAAAGCAACTATAAGACTAAAGACCTACTTTCGACGATAAAAGGAAGCGTTAGCTTCCTTGCAATTCGCTCTTCAAGTGTGCCTAGTTACAATTTCAGAATCACTCCTTCTCTCTCTCCTTGCACTTTGCTCTAAACAGCTGAGGACGGAGGTGAGTGGCGGAGACAGACCCAGACGCGAGAAGCATTAGCCTTGCTCAGACGCATTCCAGGTGTGCTTACGTAGAGTTCAAGCATCGCTCCTTCTCGTCTTGCACATTGCTTTGCAACAGCTTGTTGCGAGGTCAGTAGCACCGTCAGAAGCTTTTGATGGAAATGAAAAGGAAATTCGGGAAACAGTGCACACAGACGACTTCATTTCTCTCCCATTCCCAACCCCAGTCTCAATACCATTCCCATCTCCATCCCCATCCCCATTCCCATCCCCAGGCCGCCGCCGCCGCAGCCAGCCTTCTCCAACACAGGTCAACCTCCCAGCCCTCATATCCCGTTTCCATCCAACTGCCTCCCCTTCTGCCTCGGAGCGGCACCCGCCTTCCCAAACGCCATCGCTAAGAACGCTCCAATGCTAGGTGATGTAGAAAGTTCAGACATTATAGGCGTGGAGTAGGTCGCCAAGGGAATCTAAGTGGGCCAAGATCTAGTAGGCAGCGTACGCGGGTCGCTTGTAGGATCTAGGTCTGGAGAAAGTCTGGGAACAAATTCTGTGTTTCATGTGTATGCCCAAGTCTGACATGGGCCGCGATGTGGCTCGAGGCAATTGCATGGCTTCTTCCCTGCGGCGCGTGGCAGCGTGTGTCCGAGTGGGCGATCTGCAGCTGGTGCAGTGTGGCTAGTGAGAATCGGCGCTGACCGGTTCTTGCGCTTGGGGACTGGCGGTAATGTCACTGGATAGACATCGGCTGAGCGTGTGCGGCGAGTATCTGTGACATGCTCCTGCCATGATGCTGAGTTTGTTGATGCCATGTCATCAACCCGAGCAGTCGCGGCGTCTTGGTGTGGAATGAGCAAGCCCGCCATTGCCAAGTCTTCAACCTGATCGGAGTGCCTCAAAGCGGGAGGAGCCTCCACATGTTGTTGCGGCACCGATGGTATAAGTGTCGAGCGATCTCGTCTAAGCAATTGACCTGCAGCCACGCCAGCCAAGTTACCACGCCGAGGAGTATGTGGTGGTACCCGTCGCACAAGCCAACCGTCGGGAGTGATGTAGAGTGTAGGTCGACGCCGTTGTGCCCTAGCCATACCGTCGTGTGACGGAGCGCGCGGTGTTGGCCGCCGCATGAGCTGACCGTCGCGAGTGATAGGACACGGTGGTCGATGCCGATGTGCGTTAGCCAGACCTTCAGGATGATGAGGAAGAGGAGCCTTCTTTGTTGGCCGCCGCACCAGCTGACCGTCGCGAGTGATGACATGTGTGGGCCGACGCGGCTGAGTCTGCGCCAAAGTGTCCAGAGGGATAGCATTATACGGTGCAAGATCATGATGCAGTGCTGGTGCTCCCTCCGCTAGGCGATGCTGTCCGTACACCATTCCCCGCTCTTCTCTGCGCGGTTGAGCCTCGACTGGGCTGTCGCGGGGAGCATGCTGTTTAGAGAATGCATTTTGGTAAGATGTTGAGGTGTCTCCGCGCTCACACTAGCCGCAGCAGAGAACCTTGAAAACCTTCTGCATGAAGCCTTCCTTCTGTTCTGGCGGTGACTGTTGCGGAGCTGGACGCTGTTGAGTCGCGCTCGCTGATTGTGGCTGAGCCAGTTGGTTGGCCGAAGCACTGGTGCCGCGAGTGAGGTCGGCGCGGCTGTTTTGGAATTGTGCCGCCGTGCTACGATGGTCGGGCGTGTCCAACTGCATGCCGCTGCCACGTTTGCCAAGGTCGGCACTGTTTTGTGGCCTTCGACCGGGCTGAGCTCGTTGAGCATTTTGCTGGCGCACTGCACCTGGCTTGCTCGGGAGTGGCTTCTCCTTATCGATCTGTGGGGTGTTGGATGCTCTATTGAGGTTGCTGCGGTGAAGGTCGGCATTAGAAGGGTTGCCTTGCTCACGATGACCAGCAGCTGCCGATGGACGGGTTGGTACGTCCCAGCCCTTGCCGTTGTTGAGCTTCATCCAATCGTACTCGCCATCTTCAACTTCGCCGGTGTTCTGCAGCGCTTTTGTGAAGAGGTCGCGCAGGTAGTCGTAGTCTGGAGTGTCCTCAAAGCCCAGATTGCGGACGTATGAGAGGTACTTGTTGAACTCTTCTGGGAAGCCTTCGCAGAGATCCTTGATCGCGGTCGTCTGCTTCTTCTCTCCGATCTTTTCGTACTTCTGCTTGTTTGTGGCGGCCTTCAGGCCTTGCCATGGCAGACCTCCTCGCAGGAAATACATGAAGACGTGGCCGAGGGCCTCGAGATCGTCGCGGCGTGACTGCTCGCGGCCGAGATGTGTGTTGATGCTCATGTATCGAGCGGTACCGGAGAGAGATTTACGCTCGCGGTAGGGTATGTGTTGCTTCGTCTTTGGGTCGCGGTATTGCTTCGCCATGCCAAAGTCGACAACGTGAATAACGTTCTGGGCCTTGGTGTTTGGGCGACCAATGAGGAAATTATCTGGCTTGATGTCGCGGTAGATGAGGTTCTTCTCGTGGATGGTCTGGACACGCGACAGCATCTGCTTGGCAATCATGACGACGCTCTTGATGCTGAACCGCCGACCGCAGTGGTCAAAAAGGTCTTCGAGAGACGGCCCCAGAAGGTCTGGAAAAGTGGAGAGTTTAGCTTCTGGTCACGTGCACAAACAGACTGCCAACTGGAGACGATGAGGTGGCCTCTGGCGAGGAGGTGGGGGACGACTTACCGATGACAAGTATGTTATGCAGGCCCTCTTGACCGAAGTAGTAGACATTTGGGATGCCAGCTGCAGAGAGGTCAGCTGAGGAGCTCAATGGCAGAAACAGAAACAGGCGGGAATGCTACTCACGGCATCCGACCAGGATCTTGTATGTCCTGTATTCATCTCGAAGCTGCGGTGCATCGCTCTTGCGTGGCTCAAACTTGATGGCCACTTGGGTATTGTTGAGAAGGTTTGTGCCCTCGAAGATGACGCCGAACGATCCCTCTCTGCGATGGGGGTTAGCATGAAGTTGAGGTCACGCGTGTGCTCGAGACGAGCTGGACACGTACCCAATCTTCTTGCCGACGCGGTAGTGCACACCGACCACGTTGCTTGAACTCGCAGCCTGCGACATATCGGCGGTGTTGTAGATGTGCCGCGGGGTGTGGGTGTTGTTGTATGTGCTGAGCGGTGTGGTGTGTGCTCGTTTTGGGGGCTTCGAGAATTGGCGCTCCGGCGGCTGGTATGCGCCCGCCGGGGCGTGGTGCTTGCCTTTGCTGGTGTTTCAAGCAATGTGACGGTGTGCTTGAAATGCAGGAGCAATGGGAGTCTCTGAATGCAGCTTTCGTGGATGTGGTGGTGGTGGTGGTGGTTGGGCTGGTGAAGCTGCGAGGCTTGGAGAAGGAGAAGGAGCCTCGATCTTGACTCGCGCGCGGCAGAAACCGAAAGCTGGCCCATGCACGCTGGGCCGCCAAACTCAATTGCGCTGCGTTGCAATTTCCGACGTCTGCACTCGTCGCAAAAGTGACTACCACGCCGGTCCTCCAACGAGTTGATGGTCCTGCTGTGCATCTCGTCAACATCATCCGCTGGCCGGCCTTGCTTTGATCACTGCTTCGTGCCTGAGGTCACGACTTCAACGTCGAAGCTTTCCACCATGAACGCAACGGCGCGCTACACGAGTCGTCCGTTATGCCCCTCCACAGGCGTGGCACGTCATCATCATCAGTCGGCTTCAGATAACGTCTCGATCTGGGATCAGGAATCCTCGGGCGTATAGATCAGACGTTCAATGCCTGACACTGACTAGATGCAGTCTGTCTGATCGGCCACAGGAGCCTGCACGCAACGACCTCGACCTCTCTTCGAGCAGAGACTGGTAGCTTTGGAAAGGTCTTACATACATGATGACTGCAGACTTTGGGCAGACTCACGGCACTGAGAGTCTAGAGCAGTACGACGATTGAACTACTCTATGTTCACAAGCGTGCTGTGGACATGGAGAGATCGCCAGGCTGAAGCGAAGACGGCAACCACCAGCCAGGTTCAAGCTTCGAACACAAGGCCAAACACTGTGAAGGCAGAAGCAGGGCACGTCGGGGTTCAGATTGTATCTTTACGACTGGATTCAGAGCCTGGAGTCGCGAGGAAACTGGCTGACTGTCTCTGGCTTCGGGTCAAGGCTGGTGCTGCGGGCATGAATCCTCTGTAGACAGCCGTTACGTCAACATATCAGGCCTTCAGAGCTGGTCGTTCGCCCTGTCAGCTTGTCTTGGTTTTCCTACATGTACTGAGTCCAGACCTGTTTCCATCACGATGCGCCCGCTTCTGCTCAACCGAGCAATGGCGAGGGAGTAATGCTGATCAAAGTACCAGGCATGATCTCGCCGAGCCATGGCTTCGAGGTATGTCCACCAATTCATCTAAATACCTCACAAGCGCCAAATGCTTATCCAGGTTGTCACAGAAGTCATCAACGTTTGGACTTGAGCTCATGCATCTTCTGATTATGCACCCCGCGCTGCCTCGTCTTGGAAAATGCGTACCTGCAGCTTCTGCCATGTGGTTCGGTGTCGCAAAGTTGTAAAGTTGTGATGCAGGATAAAAAGCATGCCGCACGACATGAGCGCCACTAACACGGCGTGTCGAGCCGAGGCTTCGGCCCGAGGCCCACACTGCCGAGCTGAGCTCTCTCACTCAAATTCAGGTCATCCATCCCCCACGCAAGATTTGACCCGACAAGAAGCCAAGATGCCAAAAGTCAAGAAACCTCGAAAAAGCCGACGACTCGGACCAACAAGCAGAACGAAACAAACCGACTCGCCACAACCCATCACTCAACCCCTCGAGCAAAACTCCAAAATCCTCAACCTCCCAAAAGAACTTCTGTCGCACATCCTCAGCTACACTCTGACACGAGAAGCACCTATCATCCTCCACTCCAACTCTTCCCGCCGCTGGAGAACCGAACTCGCCACCCTCAACGCACTCCCACTATGCTGGGGCAGCGCAAAAAAAGACCGGAGCCTCGACATCCTCCTCGTCTCTAAAGCCTTCTACTTCGCCGGCGTCGAGGCATTCTACAGCTCCAACACTTTCCAATTCGGTTCCGTCACAGCACTGACCAAACTCCTCAACTCCATCGACTCAGATCGCAAAAATTGCATTCAGAAGATCCGGCTACTGCAATTCTGCAATCCTGTTATGAGTGGATATGAGCTTGAGTCACCTGAAGAAATGAGTCTTAAGGAGCTCAAAGGTGCTGAAACGATACCCGCTGGGCTTCCGGGGAAATTGCCGAGATTGAAACAAGTTAGGATTAGGTGTGTGGCTAATGGGTGTTATTTTCATTCTGAGAAGGAGAGGGTGATGGTGAGGGGTATGATTCAGGATGTGTTGAGGAACAAATGGGGGGAATTGCCTGAAGGCGTGGAGGTGGAGATTGAGGTTGTGGGGTGGGGTTTTTGATGTAAATTTCCTGCTGAGTGTCTGCTGCTATGACATCCATGCGGGTGCGCGCAGTGTGGACTGTTGCAGGTATGTCATGTCGCTCTTCCATCAGATCAGATCCATTACTGAGCTCTTAGCTCCTGGAGACGCAGTCCTTGCCAAATCAAAACTCCAGTCAGGCTTTCAAGCATTCAGCTCGCCTAACGACTTTCGGCCATGTCTCCCATCGAAATCCAACCCCATCCTTCTCTCCTGCGGCCCGGACCTCATCAAACCCATCTCCCAAAGTCCCTCCGCAACGCACATAGCCTTCCTCGCCTTACCATGCGTGCTGAGTCGTCCAACGTTTCCGAACGACTTCAGACGACGTCTCTCCCATCAACTCAAGTTCCCAAGGCGCCACCGTCTCCTCAGCGGCCTTGACCTTATCAAACACATCTCCAAACGTATCTTCGCGACACACCCAAACGATCAACCACTCAGGAGCCCCCGCTCTCCCCATCCAACCGGACTGCGGCCAATACAAGATTTCCTGCCAAGACCCAATCTTCTTGCCACTGCGCTCCGCCGCGGTGATCGCATTTGCAATAAGCTTATCAGGGCCATAAAACCCTGTTCTTACATCTGACCAGTTGTGTTCGCCACTGGGTGCTTCGTGCATGCGATGGATGAGCGCTTTGGATCCCTCGATGGTGCTGTTGAAGGTTCGAGAGACGCGCTTGACAGCGAAGAGCTGGATGGCAGGCCTGCGGAAGCGTTTGACGACGTATCTGTCATCGTTGGCGACGAAGAGGAGGATGTTTTCGAGCAGCTCCGGGATGGCGAACGTGCGACCTGCTGCGGAGGTAGCCATGGTGGATGCGGGTCTGGAGTGGTGTTGGTGTTGTGGCAAGTTATAAGTGCGGTGACGAAAAGAAAGTGTGTTGAGACTAGCGCGGTTGGCTGATGAAGTGAGACTCGAGAAGGCATGTGCGAATCAAAGAACTCGAAGCCTCACTCTCACTCACTTCGGCTGGATCGGACCGTCAGCTTTCACATGCATCGGCGTCGGCATTTTGCTTGCTTCGTGCCCGCGTTGGCATTTCGCCTGCTCGCAAGATGTCCTGGAACAAGTGCGAAAGCAAGAAGTCCGTGGGCCTCGCTACGCCGGGATGGAGAAGGGAAAATTGCATGTTCATGTTCATGCACTTCAGCACGACTATCTGGCCAGATTGACCCTCAGACATCCGCTGACGTGGAGCGATGCCGCTTCGAGGAACGAGAACAATGCCAATTTACGATCTCCAAAGAAAGTAGGAAGACAAAGCTATCAAAGACAAAGACCTCGTTCTACAATCCTTTGTCGCTGGCGCAATATAAGCACTACTTCTTTGGTCAACGTTGACGCCCTTCAGCACCATCTTCGAAGCCCCAAACTGATGTCCAAGCAGGCTCTTGGCCCCATTGATCCCGAACTTCAACCAGGCACTCATCACCTCGACCCAGTCCCTACTTCCAACACCACTTCGCCCAGACGTATCGTCAACATGCCTACAGCCCACTTTGACAGTGAGCAAGAGCTCTTCGAAGCCGAAGACTCTCCTCAAAAAAACCTCATGGACCTCTTCTGGATTCCAAAAATAGGTGAGAAGATCCTCCTCGACATGCATCCCGCTGACGTCTTCTCCACTCTCAGAACCAATCGCCAATTCAAAGCCATCATCGACAACTCGCCCGCTCTACAGAAAAGGCTGTTCCTCGCTCAGCTCCCAGAAGATGAAACCTTGACAAATTTCAAAACCTGGTCCATCACTCCCGACACAGCTTGGAAACCAAACACCCTTCTCTGCCCAGAGTCTCGCAACGACACCCAAATTCCCACCTCCCAGAAAACTCCCCGTCGACACTTCGTCCACGACCTCTTCCCCCACGCCGTTCTCTCGTGCGAATGGCTCCATTACCCCGTCAATCTTCCCGGAGACATTCAAAGCTGGCAAATCGCACATTCCAAAAAGCAGTTCACCAGAATCTTTGTTCTCCGAATTCAATCGCAAGCGACTCACAAAGAAGAAGAAGAAGAAGAAGAAGAAACTTTTCCCGCACGTATTCCATCGGCGGGCGAGAAAATGTTCCTTACTGACAGACCGACGTTCCATTTCGTGCAGATTGTTGATCTTCGGGGTCAGAAAACGGAGTGTCAACCTATTTGCACTGGGATGCGGATGATTGATGTTTTGGAGCTTGCTGAGATGGTTACGACCGGGAAACTTGACGGGTGATTTCTTGATCTGCAGAATATGCGGTTCGACCTGGTCCACGAATGAAAGGTAAGTAGTGCGCTCAATACTTGGACGTTCGATGCATCTTCTCTATACTATGCCGTTTTTACAATATTTCATCTTTCCGAAACACAACTTAGAAAATGCTGTGCTTAAAATAATCCTTTGTTGCGGCTATACCTTTGACTTGACGAGCATGCATGCCTATAGTAAGCACAAGTTCACTTGCTACTATATCCACAAATTCACTTGATTATCACATCTCAATCTCCCTCCTTAAAAGCTTCTCCTTCTTCCTACTCCTAACCTTCTCATTAAACACATTCCAACATGCGACAGAATTCGAGCCACTATAACCCCAACCTCCAACTCAGATTCAATGTCTTAAACGCCGCGAACTGAGTCTTCGCCATCCCCGAACTCCTCAAAATGATCCTCCTCCACCTTCCGGCTAAAACGAAAGTACTTCCTGGCCCAAATGATCCGCCAGACTTCGATGTGATTTTCAAGTATTTCGCTAGATCTATCAAGGGAGTTAAGCGTGTGAGTCGCACGTTCAACGATACGATCAACGGGTCTCTAGCACTGCAACAACGCATGAGGGAACCAGTTGGAGTGTCTTTCCGCCAACGAATCCACTCTGCCTAGCCTTTCTCTCGGTCGACATGAATGGACGTCTCTTGGGCTTGGAAGCGGGCTACGAATTCAGCTTGGGCGTTACAAAGCATGCCAATTTCTCGCACAATCTCATTGTCTTGCGCCGTATTCGCAACAATGCCTTGTGCCTTGCAAAGAATAACATTCATTTTCTTTGTTCGCTTCTTTGTCAAAACATGTCCCAATCCTCCACCATAAATACCGCTTTCCCTCCCCTCTAGGAATCACAGATCACAGATCAACATTTCCACACCAAAAGCAAGAACATTTCCCCAGCAAATGCAAGAACACCAGCCACAAACACATACCCACACCAAAGACAAGAACACCAGTCACGAATACATTGCCTCCCCAAAAGCAAGAACACCAACCACAATGTCGACTCCTACCAATTCAAACAACGCCGCGAACCGCGTCTTCGCAATCCCAGAGCTCCTCGAAAACATCCTCCTCAATCTCGATACAACCGAACAAGTCCCAAGCAAAATCCTCCCACCGACTAGACAAGCAATCCTCAAATGCGGTAGCACATCTCTCCAAGGCGTCAAACGCGTGAGTTGTACATTCTACGACACGATCCAAGACTCCCCCCAACTTCAACGCCGCCTGAAAGAGCCCATCCCAGCATTACCACTCAGCACCCGGATTCCCCGCGACTCTGTCCCGGCGAGTTTATTCTTCATGGACATAGTTGTTGAATACTGAATATTCAAGATTCACTGCTCGTATTCAGATTCACTATTGAATGTTAGTAAATATTCATATTCAATTTATATTCAAATACACTCTTAGCGATAGTGAGGGCAGTGGTGACGCTTAGGGTTAAGAAGGAGGGTGTTCTTCGCAGTGCAGTCTTGTAGAATACTAGCTAATTATACAACTCGTCGTTGTCTTCACCTTCCGTACCTAATTGTAGCATATCTAACGGCAAATCCGCTATACTAGACCGTAACTATTGCTTGCTACACTCGCTTATACGGATATTGTTGCTAGTAAGCAAGGTACGGTCCTATGAAACCGTACGTCTACTGCTACTAAAGGTGCGCTCGGACTCCGCGGATATAGCGAAGGCGGACAATAAGTCGATAGCTAGTTGTAAGAGCGTTAGATAGGCGGTCCGCTATATAGGAAGGCACTACCATTTAAGTAGACTTATATAGACTAGCTGCTTCCGCTTGTCGGTGCTAACCTATAGCAGCTTAATAGGCGTAGCGGCAATAAATGACTCGAAGGGGTTAATATCAGTCGTAAGGACGTCGTTCTCGAGCTGTTGTTACTACGCTATTATATCTGTTAAGTCTGTAGCTTCTATAGCGGTAGCAGAAGTAGCCTCTATAGAAGAAGAAGCTAGTTTATAACGCGCCTCGTATTTAGTCTATAACGCTCTCGCTCTTGCTAGGCTATTAATAAGCTATTAATCCTTCTTCTTGCTACTAGACTAGCGCTTCCGAAGCCATGCCTTACGGCGAGTTAGATATAGCAGTATTGTAGTAACGTAGATACTACTCTCGTTAATTAGACGATAGTATTTATCAAACAGGCGCTAAGAGATATAGATAGCCTTCATTATAGGCTCTCGTTTAGCATGCTACTTCTTAGCACGCTCGAAGTAAGTAAGTAGCCATTCTATAGTCTCTTAGAAGCGGTCGAAGGTGACGTCGTAGCCTTATAGCCGCTAAGTCGCTTCCTTAAATAGTGTAAGGAACAACCGTATCTCTTCGAGGACAATCTAGTCGCCCTCGGTAAGCTAGTATTTACTTAGTTGTAGTATACTAATAAATAAGGCATTAAGAATAGGCCTTGTCTAAATAGCTTCCTTAATTATTAGTAACTAGCTATTCTAGCGAGTCTTACTAGGCGGCTTCGGATAGGTAGAATGCTAGTTGTGATAGCTCCTTAAAGGCGTTGTAGCAGTCGTTCTCTCGCTATAGAACCTTAGTCAGTCGGTAGAGACGCTATAGTAGCGTTTGCTTAGTAAAGCACTCCGTATCGAGATCTAACTATCTAGATATAGAGACCTTGTTACTGTCGCTCTCTAGTTGCTTATTAAATAGCACTTGCCGCGCTTAAAGAGCCCTTTAATCCGCTAACTCTACCGCTTCTATAGATATAGCAAACATAAAGGCTTGTATAACGAGGTTAATAATATAGCCGAAACAGCGTAGACGGCGGCTCTATTTTGTCTAGTATATAAAGCCTTTCTAGTGTATATAGCGCTTAATCGTGTCGCAGAGGGTGTTGTTGTTGGAGGCGTTATTAGCAGTTATCTAGCCAACCTTGTATATAATTGAGAAGGTCTCAAAGCACGAGATTAATAGCTAAGCAATAAACTCGCTAGTATAAGAGCCTCGTTCTAGAGGCGGCAAATCGACGAGTACTTAAGTTAGTTTGCTATACTTGTTAATATACTAACAATTAATAGCCTAGAAGTGCTTATAACCGTACTAAGCCTTCTAAGTATTAGTACTAAGGTATAGACAGCTAATAGCTTTAAGAAGCCCGATTTTAACCCTCTCTCGCTAGTTCTCAAAGTTGTATTGTACTCGTACTATTAATAAGGTATAAGACTTTAAAAGAGCCTTGTCTATATGTAGATTGATTGCTAATATTATCTCTTTAAAGGCCTTAGAAACAAGGCTAGAATAAGCGACACTATATGCTATAGCATAGCGAGCTATTGCCTACCTGAATTTGTCGATATTAGCTTCCGCTATATTCCTTAGAATAGTAGCCGTACGGCGCGCCTTATTGCCCTCACTGTCCGCCTATATTCTAGCAATATTAATGCGGCTTTGTAATAGATCTTTGTCTAGATATATAGTAATACTATGCGCCTTAAGAAGGTAGTCGGCGGCGTTGCTAGACACTGATTTCTATACTTTGGGGCTGTCTACTAGATAATGTCTATAGTAGAAGTATCTATAACCGTATCTATTACGAGGAGGCTCGCCTTCCTACGGATCTCGGGTATAAGACTACAATACCGGATCTGTCTTATTTTTTGCAAAGTGTAGCTTCTTCTGCTAAGCGAGTGTCGGTAGTATAGGCCTTAGTACAGGTGTTAGTGTCGAGAAGAAGGAAGAAGAGGATGTAGATTGCTAGGTTTAGGGCTCGTCTAGAGTCGGATTTAGTACTAGTTCGTCAATGCTTTCTATATACTTCCGTTTCCGTAGTTTCTAGCTTTCCCGTTCGGTTTCTTAGGTATTTAGGAAATTTTCGAGCGCTCGTTAGGTCGGTATACGATTTTCTCGTGTCTTTATTGTAGGAAAGAAGGTAGTTATATTCTAATTAGAAGAGATAGATTGCAAATTTGACTTTCGAGGCTAAGTGCGGCCCGCTTCGGTTAGCCTATCCGAAAGCTAAGAATGCGGGTTAGCGAGTCCAACTAGGGCTTAGCGTAACCCTTATAACGCAAACAGCAACAGCTAGAATACCAATCTTCGACTAACTATTATACACCTATTTAACAATAATAACAACCTTACTACCGCCGCTAGTAGCCTCGCTATCGATTAATCGATGTAGTACCCTATCGATCCGACGCCTAAAGTATATCTGCCGCTACGAGCACTACCGATTCAGTCTAGAATAGCACTCGAATAAGCAGAGGCATAGTTTCTTACTAAATTCGAAGTAACGACGAGAACCGAGTAGAAGAACAGGCCTTCCCTTACGGTCTATACCTTTATATACCTTCCGAAGGCTATTAGCGACACGCTCTTAATAGTAACTAGCCCTATTAACGATTTCCGCCGCGTAGACAAGGCTCTTTATCGTCTTCCTTGTAACCCTTCGAAACGGCAACTATAGACTACCTCTCTCCGCCTCCCTAATACACTACTCGAAGTCCGCCTATTCTACGTACTCGATAAACGAAATATCGTCCGAATTAGCCTAGTAATCGTTTACCTAATTAGTATTAATAAGAGGTAGATAGACCGAGCGGATATTCTTTAGCTATTATTAAAGCCTCTAGTCCTATAGAGCGAGGAAGGCTTGTGTCTCGGATAGAAAGCGGTAGAAAGAACAAGGTAGTAATAATACTATAACCTCGTCCTTAGAGGCCGCTAGCGACTTAGCAACCTAGTCTATAGAATTAGCGACCTTCGTATACCTAGGTTCTATCTACCTACCTCGAAGTTGTCTATCCTCCGAGCCTATAGAAAGAGCTTGGTTTTTAGTAAGAAAGAAGCAACAAACAACCTAATTTTGTATAATTAAAGAGATCTACGTACGCCGTAGTACAACCGTTAAACCCGTTAAATTGCCGACTGAATATACTGAATATTCGAATATTTAGTGACCTCGTATTTAGATTCATATTCAATATTGAATATGAATGTGAATTGAATACGATTCATTATTCAATATCTCTATTCATGGATCACGGCGAACATCTTGAATCGGCTTGGCTTCGAGCCACGAAATTTTCCACCGATGAGACGACCTACGAACCGTGGAGGAACATCGTCGTTCTAGGAAACATGACTTCCACCATGACCGTCGACTTCTTCATCCAACTGGGAGTTTCACTGCAGTTAGTCATCATCCCTGGCGAGACGTTTGATCAATTAGTCAAGAATTTTCGACGTGCGCTTGAGCAAGAGGGTCTAGCGCCTAAAGAGACTCACGAGGCGTTCCGTGCGAGAATGGCCGGGACGGGGAGAGGGAGATCAGGGCAGAGAGATTCTTTCGATCGAGTTGTGAGGAAGTATCGACGGGCGCTGGAGAAGGAGGGGATGTCGGAGAAGGAGACTCGTGAGGTTTTTCGGGCGAGAATGGATCGGACGGCTCGTGGGAGGGGAGGGAATATGGAGTCGCCGCTGTCTATGCTCATTGATTGGGCTAGAGGGAGAAAATTGTAAAGTAGGCGGAACGTGCAGAAGCAGACGATGGAATTTTCACGCTCGCTAGCTCCAGCCATTCTCTCATCTCCCAAGCCTTTCTAGGTCCTTCTCATTCCCTTGAAGGAAATACTCCAAGTCGGGGCCGGTCCTTGACGTTTGCCTTCAATCGATAGTCCCGCACCTTGTATTATGAACCCCTTCGCAGGTTACCTGGTATGCCTACTCTACCTTAATAACTGTACTTTCAATAGTCTAATACATACTATTTCGTCTAAAATTTCTCCTAACCTATACCTTAAAGTCGTCTTAATCGCCTAACTCGTACTATCCTCCTCGAGCCTATTAATATTAATAAATCTAACTACCTATATCTTACCCCTAGAAATTAAGCTAGTCTCCTACTCCTTCCCTATTAACTACTAAGTCTCCTACTAGAGTACTATAGTTATTTATACTATAGAGACTTATACTAAATACGTTAATTTCGATTTCGTACTACTTTATATTCTTTCGCGCTATAGAATACTAGATTACTATAGAGGGATAAATCGTAATTAGAATAGCGAGAGTACAGATTATAGCGATAGAGAGGGAGGGTTAAATCGCTATATAGCGGAGCATATAAGGGATAAAAGAGTAGCGAGAGAACGGTACTATCTAGCATAGTCCTTAGAAGCGACTAGTAGGATACCTTAGAAACGGGCAACTAGGGCGAACGTAGACAGCGTAGGTCTAAGCCTAAACTATTCTATAGAAAGTAAATATAATACTTTCCCTTACTTTCTATCTCTTCCCGATAACTTATAAATTTTCTAAGCTAAGCAACTAGTTCACCGAATTACTTTTCTAAGCATAGCCTAATCTTTAAAACCCAACCTTAGACCTATAACTTATTACCTACCTACTATAGCAACAAAATTTCTCGCACCTCTAAACAAAAAGAAGAACTCTATAACTACAAAAAATGCCCCCCAAACGCCCTCTTCTAAACCCCCGAACTCCTAGAACAAAGCCTCCTCTTACTAATATAAACCTTCTAGTTAATCGAAAATTACACCCGCAAAAACTCCCTCCACCACCCTCCTCTCTCGCACCTTCCACGAAAAGAAAAAAATCCAATCATCGCCCACCCCGCAGCGCCGCATCACTCAAACCCCCCCCCCCCCCCCCTCTCTCCCCCCTGTTGAAAAAAATATACGAATCCCCCATCTCCGGAACCTGTGAAACCCGACTTCACGGCTAGCATGTAGGGTACGCATAGTCTCGCCGCTTTCAAAACTGATCCTACTAAGACGAGTCGTAGCGGGAGTGTGGATTTCCGGAAATTCACGCTTGTGATTGGACCAGGAAAGAGGTTTAGGACTGCGGATGCTGCGTAGTGAGAGGGAGGATTGTGAGCGGGGGGTGAGGGCGCGGGTTTTGCAGGTTGTGAATGGGGTTTTGTGGAGGTTGTGGTATGAGTTGATTACTGCTGGGAGAAGGGTAGTGGAACGGCGACGGGTGGCCTATGGCACGTTCTCGCTTTGGTGGAATTTCGGTTACTAGCGTAGTAGAAGGAAGAATGGTGCGATTTGGATTTCTCATGCTAGATGGAAATGCTCGATTGCTTGATGTGAGGCAGCAATGGTTTAGTTTCATAGAGGCGCATTAGCTGGGACATCGTGTTCCAGGCCGCTGAACAAAGAGTCCGATAACATCGAAGGCTACGCAAAGTCTCGTACTGGTGCATAATTGTGCCTTCGCTTCGTGTCTTGTCTCGCTCCGGCAAACATTCCGATGTGATAGAAATGCTGTCTCGAATGAATGCTTCCCATAATTTTGACTGTATTTGTCTATTACGAGCCAATTCCTGGCCAAGTTCAAGTCATTCATTCATTCACTTCTATACCATGTTTCAGATCGTATACTCACGACGACATTCACAAGCACAGTACATTCACCTTCAAGATTGAAGCGACTTGAACTCTGCTATAGTCTCAGAGTTGCCCTGATGGAAACAATCCACACTGCCGAGCTGTGTTTGGCGCGAACTGTTGACGACCAAAAAAACAGATCCTACAACAGCCTGTCCAGACCAGTTAATTTGCTAGAAATAGATCCAGGGACCTGCGCGACTGTATCAAGATGTTGTCAACCAACGCCGCCACCAAAGTCTTCAGCATCCCCGAATTGTTAGAACAAATCATCCTCGAACTACCACAAGCCGAAGGCAACGAGGGCGACAGGACGGTTCGAGGCCAATCCAGCATCGCCCGTCTCTTCGCCCTCAGACGGGTGTCGCGGGCATTCCACGCTACAATCACCGGCTCCTTGGCCATCCAGCGTAGAATGTGCGAGCCCATTGTCATCGACTGGGTCCAGACCGCGCCTTTGTGGTGGGATTTCATTGTCTGGCCCAAAGGCTGGGATGCGCACAATGCTTTCGAGCGAGCCGCCAATCAGGGCAGTAGACTGGAAGAGTCGTGGCGAAGGATCAAGTTCTTGAGCGATGACGATGTCAAGAGGAAGGTTGCGTTCAACCATGGAATCAACATGTACGTCGATCCTGGCGAGACGTATGGTCAGGTCGTGGACAGGCTTCATCGGAGGAGGGACAACCAGTTGAAAAGTCTTGAGAGGGCGAGGAAGGTTAAGAAGAACAAGAGTGCCAGGTGGGCGAAATGGACGAAGTCGGGAAGGTGAAGCATGATATGCTTTCATTTGGATGCCAGGGGGAGGCTTGAGAATGTCGCAGTATTTCTGGTTTATGACGCGGGACTTGGTAGATTTAGTGTGTAGTTTCTGAAAATCTGAATGCCGGATCCAGGGCTGAGCGTACTTCAAGCAGATGAGAGCACGAGTTGCACGACAGCAAATCACGGCCATGTGATCCGAGGAAACGCCAGGAGAGGCGGCTGAACAGTTGAAAAATATAATTTAGAGATTTTAGAAATCTCAAGAGATTGCTGACGCTCTTGCGCTCATAACTCCATAGCGCTAAGCATGCATATCCACAAAGCTCATCTCATGCTACCATCTCAAAAGCGCATGTCAAATCCCATAGACCTAAAAGATCTAGTACGACGGCAATCGATATCCATATCCCTGCAGCTTCTTACAACTCGGCATATCCATCTTCTTCGCCCGTTCCAACTTCGTCTGATCCGTAAAGAAGAAACCCATGGCCTCATTCGCTAACCGCTGTCTTTGACTCTGTTCCCATTCGCATTCGGCGCTCAGATGTCCAACATACTTCCGCTCTGCCGCTGTATCCAACTCCCTCCATTTCTTCGGCGTATACTCTTTCACGTCTGCCGGATTCACCCAATACGGTATATTCAGCTTCGCGGACATGTGTTGGTGGGTATGAGGCGGTACAGCGGCATCGAATCGCATCGTGGGACCGCTTGGAGTTCCAGATCCGGAGAACAAGCTCGAAAGCAGCGGTAGAACGAAAAGTAGTAGCAGAGGTAGTAGTCCTTGAAGTGCCTGGAATATGCTCTGGGGCCGTTGATTCTCTTGGTTGTGCGGTCTCCTCCTAGGTTGTCCTCCACCGAATTGATGTACTCTGATGCCTGGTCCTCCACCCATGTTGAAGACGAATCCAGGTCCTCCAAATCCTCCTCCGAATGGTCCTCCCATACCTCCGCCTCCGAAGAATTGCCTAAATAGTTCTTCGGGCGATATCTCTTCCTCGAACATTGGCCCTCCTCTCCTCTGCTGGGCAAACCCACTGAACGGTGAAGCGCCTGAAGAAGCTGCTGATGCCCCGCCAAACCTCGACTCCGGATCTCCGCCAAACTTGTCGTACTTGGACTTCTTATCTGCGTCGCTCAATATCTGAAATGCTCGCGATACCATTTTGAAAGCCTCGTCTGCGCCAGGATAGCCATTCTTGTCCGGATGTGTCAGGAGTGAGAGTTTGCGGTAGGCCTTCTTGATCTCGCCATCTGTGCATGTCGTCCGACTCGCTTCCAGGCCTAAGATATCGTAGAAGTCTGTGGGTTTGCATCGGCGCACGCGGATTACTGCGGCCTTCTGCTCGACCGTGAAGGCTCGTGACGAAGAGCCATCATTGTGCGAGTGATGTCCATTCGCCTCGGCCTTCTTCTTTTCCGACATGACGTTTCCGGTCGATGCTATCGTCGCAGGGGAGGCCGATGTGAGGCGGGCGCAACGGATGCGCCGCGGGAGTAGTCAGCGACCAAGGTTGGGAGTTGTTCGGTCGGAAGTGGCAGTATGGATGTCTGTATGGGGTTTTTCGCAGCGTCTCAATGTTGTCGGCGAGGCAGAAGGATTGTTTGCGTCGGCGCAGATGGACTTCTGATTCGATGGTGGTGGTGTTGACAGATCGCCCGTGCTCGCTCGAGCCTGCATGTACCTCGAGTCCAGAACCCTGCCAAACTCATCGGCGGGCACTTCTTTTCGCCGACGAGCCATGACGTCTGTGCACTCTTTGCATTCACTTCATCTTGGTTTTGTCTTGTGACAATCACAACTGCATGGCGAGATACCAGAATCGTCGGAACTTCCTCATCGACCAGCGCTAGGAGCATTACAAGAGAACCATCTGCAGCACTACCGCGGCCATGCCGATGCCATCGAAAGCACCGTCTGAGGAGGAGGTCAAGCAGGGTGCTTTCTCGTACGCGAGAGCATGGGGAGGTGAGAAACATTGGAGGTTGTTGTGATCGAGAACGCTTCTGATCTCGCTTCTACAGTCAATCCCCTCCCGCCTACCGTCCTCGCGACCCTCATCACCGCACAGCACATGCGACCCTTCCATGCGCTACCTATGCTGTTCCCTCCCATCCTGCTCTTCTCAACATATCTCAACTTACAGGGCTTCAAGAAAGATTCTGCAGGTCTGACGAGTGCATGGTCGATGGCATACTTGGTGCTCGCTAGTCGGAGGAAAGCACCATTGATGCGAAAGTTCGGAGCCAGAGGCATTGTGAGAGGCGCAACGATGGCACTGTGTCTGGCCAATGCTGTCGGCGGAGGCTGGGCATATTGGACTGGGAACAGCGAAAAGGAGGACAGCATTGTATGAGCTGGGATCAATGATGAAATCATCTCAACAAGATGGAGGCAAAGAAGATATTCAGTGAAATGCACAGCGGCCAAGCACAGATGTACAGTACGTATTCGTATTGATACAAAAGCGAGTTGCGCTGATCAGCCAAGCAATCAAACCCGTGTGGCGCGCACGAGCGAAGCAAAAGTTCCTGGCCTCAGACCGGCGCGTCAAATCGCTATGCGAAGTCGATCACTCTATGAGAGTACATATCGCGGCGAACTGTTACGACGATGCGCAAGTAAGATCCTACGTTCCTCTTGTACCAAGCGCTTCGAATATCCCAACCAGGAGCTCTTACGCATTACCCATTGTAATACACCCGACCAACCAGTGCGCCGACAATGGGACGCTGGACGCTCTGCTCGGCACTAAGCTGAGTATGAGACGTAATCGATATCAACACCAGGTTGACTCGCAGGTGCTCAATGAAATTCCATCCAGGTCTCTCATTGGCGGAGGGATGTGAATTGCCAAGTGCTTTGAGTTGTTGCGTTGGAATGCCGATAGAAATGGCCGAGGCCGTAGGAAGGTGAATGGTCACTTCCACGCAACGGCGATGCATATCTGCAGGACACATTAAAAGAGAAACCAGACCGTCACGCGGATATCGAGCCAGAGACATCCAGCTCACTGGGCAACAGGCACACCAACCCAGGCGACACCCGTTCCAGCTTTGCACCAAATGCGTGAGCAATACATGCACGCAGTCTTGGAGAACTTTTCTCGAAGGACCAAAACACGCCACGCCCTTATCAACTCTTCCGATCTCAAAGATAGGGAGTAGGGGAACGTTCATCCCAAGAAGGGGTTACAAGCTTTCTTTCTTTCGAGTGTATTCGACATGAGCTTTTGAGTCCGGAATGGTTTCGACAATGAATGGTGGAATGCTGTGGGATGTGGAAGCTTGCAGGAGTATTCGGAGAAGAATTGGGATGGTGGAGATGGGAAGGCTGATGCGAATGATTTGGACTCGGCAGCATGGTGGTTTTGAGGAGGACCAAGGAAGTTTGGAGAAGACTTTGGGGAGGGTGAAGGCGAGATGTTTGGTCATGCCGGATAGTGCGGATCAGAATCTTCCGCCTGAGGATAGCGAGAGGGCGGTCAAGGCTTGGAGGGGTGGGAGTCGGACGTTGAGAGTCATTCCTCGGGTCTGGGGCAATTGGGTGGTGGTGGTCATGGGACGAAGGAGGATACGGCTTTCATGATCTAGGAGAGTACGGTCAATCACGAAGATGCGAAGAAACGCGGTCTTGGGCCGTTCACATTGCATTGCAGACTTGTAAGTTGTAACCCCAGACATGATATCCAGTGCAATGTCTGGTGATCCTCGGTCTGTCCAGTCGATTACTATGAAGGAGTGTTTTGTATAATACAGTAGCTACGGTAGTAGTCTATGGCTCGACTGCCGGCGCCAACGATTCACTTTCGCTGGTTCCTACTAGGTAATCTCAGGGGAAGTCACCACCAGAGGAAGAGATAGGGAGGGGCAGGGGGAGTAGTATAGAGTAGCTTAAGCTATAGAGATAATGCCAAGCTCCTCGAACACTCTACTCTAGCCTACTATTATGTACCTAACTTCGCTCGGATTCGATTATTTGTTATTCGAATAGCCCGAGTTAGTGTTTAGTCTATACCCCGTCTACTTGAAATTGCTAAGCGCTTATCTCCTAATATTAGCTTCCCGATCTCCGTTTCAACCCCTTACTAATTGAGCGCAAGGAGTGTCTTTATATAGTAGGTTCACTCTTTCTAACAATTCTTCTAATTTCCTTATAGGGCCGGTACCTAGGCTCCCGAGGTCCTTCCGAACATTCTATAGTAAGCATATCGGAAGCTACGCGAGACTAACTACGCTTACGTCCTTACACAGCTACCTAGTAGGGAAGCTACAACATGTCTACTAGGATAGAAGAGATCCAAGTATATTAACCTACAAAGTAAATTCGAGGTAGCTCTAGCACACCCTATAGGTTCTATATACCCCTACAGAGTGCCCTAAAACCACCGAAATTAGTATACAAATCGGGGTATTGCAAATACCCCTTATGCAACCTAATTACCTCGGATTTCTACCGTTCCGAATAGCTGTAATCGCTCGAAAACGACTAAGTCTACGCCTGCACCTTAGTACTACTACTTCTACCGCTTAGAAGCGACAACCTCTCCTTAGATCCGTCGTTTTAGTAGTCTAATTGGTATAGGAGATAGCGTACGAGAGGATTGATCTATCCGGTACGGTTTAGGTAGTATACCTACGTATAACCTTCTACGAGCGCGTTTCGAAGGTGTTATAGGCTTACTAATTAAAGGCTTCTAACGACGAGGTTTATAAGAGCTACCTAATAGCTATAGTAGATCAATTGAAGTGTCCTTACCTAGCGACTATATAGGTGAAGAATACAGAGCTATAGATAGTGCTATAGAAGGTAGTAGCTCTGCTATAGAAGGTAGCTCTACTATAGAAGGTAGCTCTGCTATAGAAGGTAGTAGCTCTGCTATAGAAGGTAGCTCTGCTATAGAAGGTGGCTCTACTATAGAAGGTGGAAACAGCTTACTTAATAAGGGCAAATCGTCTAGTAAGAACGATAGCAACGGCTATTAATGCCTTAATGCCTCGTCGTTATCGTATTGATCACTTTTGCTAGCGTCCTTTAGCAAAGATAGCGGCAATCGACTAATTAGCGTTAATTATAGAAGAAGGTCTATATCTAAGAGCCTATTAAATAGGTCCTTATTAACCTCGTATAGTACGTCTTTATCTTTAGCCTAAGTAACAACGCCGTTGCTATTAGGTAGACTATAGACTAGTAGAGCGTAGCCTTCGACAATAAGGCGAGGCCGATATAGAAGGTTGGTTATAGAAGCGACAGGTGCTAGTAGCAGTAGCAATAGAGCTAGAGCTGTATAGAAGACTAGTTGCCGTAACGGCTTATCGTTAACAACTCGCTACTTTATAGTACGACGAGGTGTCAATTTAGCCTACGGAGTACCATTCTTAAACTACTAGTCTATCTAAGCGACTCGCGAGTCGTAGCTAAGTGCTGCAAAGTTAGTAACCTACTATAGAAGGGCCTTATATTGCTAACCGTCGGTAAGGTTAGAAGCCTGCGAGTCGTAGAACCGGAAGAAGGCCTATAAGACTGCTTCTTGTATAGAATAGAAGTATTCCTTCACCTAGCGCTTCCGAGACACTCCTAGTGCCTTATTAACGTAGAAGACCTATGCTAACTGCTCGTCTTCAATAATAAGCTTTGTATTAAGCTAGTCGGAGTAGACAAGGTTACTGTTTAGACCTTAGAAGCGACTAATGTAGAGGCTACAACGGTGTAGTGTAAGGCGACTAATTGCTTCCTTATAAAAGCGCTAAATATGCTTATAAGGAAGGTGATAGCTGTGCTAGAAGTAATAGAAGCACTTAGTGCATACATTGTCGTCCGTAGCCGGTAGAGCTATTCGCTAAGCAGGCTTGTTGTTGTCTATGTCCTTATAGTACTGTGTGAGCTTATCCGCCATTTTCTTCTATATAGAAAGAGGTAACCGTCGAAATTTAGAAGTCTTCTCTTAACGCTACATTAGAAGCTAGCCATTCTTATCGACAACGCTATTTTAACGGACGCGCTCGCGGATGTAGTTATTAAGCTAAACGAGGTGTAGGACGGTACCTAGAATAGTTAGTTGTTGTTATATAGAAGAGACAAGAAGCCGTAGAAGTCTGAGAATAATACTAAAGGCCGAAAGCTAGCCTATTCTAAGGAATCCGCCCGTTCTAAGGAATGTAGTAGGACTCTATTCTTATAGAATTCCGATAGCAATAGAAGAAGGGGAAGAATACGTACCTCGCAAGCTCTATTTGCGTATCTAACGCTTGTCTCGGTGCTTCAAGTGTGCATAATAGCCCTCTAATAGACTAGTAGTACGAACGGCTATTAAAATCGGGTCTCCGAGCCTTGCCTAAGTCGCCTAGCGATCGCTGTCGGAGGCCTTCCAATTGGCCTTTAAATAGGCCAATTCTTCACTCGATTTAGCCGTATTATAGGTGTTAAAGGCGGCTATTGCTTAGTCAATGAAGTATTAGTATTCTTCTTAGTCTCGAGCGATAAACAGAGCCTTGCTTATTGCCTTCAAAACAGGTAGAAAGCGCTTAAAGTGCTTCTCGAGGGTCTTAATAAGGTGCCGTTAGTAGAGGCGTTGAATAATACTACAATCCATAAGACCGTAACTAACTCCGAGCTGTTCACTTACTAAGTCGTTAGTTATTGACTATAGTAGTATCTAGGAAGATTGCTTAGTATAGTTAAAGTCGTCTTAGTCTTTAGCTTTAAAAGAATAGCGGTTAGCCTAGTTGAAGAAGAAGTACTTCCTATAGCTATTAAAACCGGTTATCTGGTGTTTGTAGTCTAATTTAGCTATTTCTCGAAGGCTCGAGATTGCCTTCTTAATTAGGTATGCTTGCTCGCAATCTATAAGGAAGTGAGCCGCTAGAAGCTACTCTAGGTGGTTATTACGGACGTATATAGTTAAGAGAGGCCATTTAAGCCTATTAGTAAGGTATATAGAATCTAGTAAGAACAAGGACCTATAGTTGCGAAGGGCTCGAAGTTGCTAGTTTGCCGCCTAAATTAGGCCTCTATAGACGAGTCTATCGCTTCTACGAGATTCAATTATCTCTATAAAGCTACTTCTACTACTGAATTTCGCAGACAAGTACTAATAAGCCTACTATAACTGCTCCTCGATAGCTAGTTTAGCACCTTGTCTTCGCTTGTTACTTAGTCGCTTTAGACCTTCTCGATTAGCGCTAGAAACGCGGTCTCGAGTAATACTAACCGCACTAGCATTATACTAAATTTGCCTCTGTTTAGGCCTTCGCATTTCTTTAACTAACTAAGCGACTAACGTTAAGCTACCTCGAGAAGCGATTAGGTCCTTCTATACCGCCTTTACGCTATCGTTAGTTTGTAAAGAATCGACGAATTCGAGACTATACGAGTAGCGGTTAGTAAGCGGCTTTAACACTACGTAGACTAGCCTTATAACCGTCAAATTCGCACTTAGAGTCGAAGGCAGCGCGGCCGGCACGTAGTTATCGAGAAACTCGCCTATTTCGCGATTTAGTCGCTTCTCGTAGACCTTAATAATCACTAACTTCGCGTAATAGTCGTATATATACATCGTACGCGCTACGCGCTATCGCTGAGGCTGTTTGCGCTTAAAAACAACCTCTCTACTATCTGCGCGATTATAGTCTATATAGCGCTTATAGATACGATACTCGAAGCCGAGTCGGCGATACAACCGACCTTGCGAGTCCTTTAATAGCTTATTTAGTCGATTCTTATAATACTACACATTAGTTACGAAATAGCGGTATTCGTCGTATTCGAAGCCTTCTATCCGTAGACCCTCGTACGCCTAAATACTACTTAACTCGGCTATAGGAGGGTGGAAGAACAGGCGCCTTCGGTTATATATATTTAGTAGAAATGGGCTCTTGAACTATATACTAACTTAGCGCTATTCTCGACCTTACCGACCTCTTATACGTACCGGCCGCTCTACCTCTAGCTTAGTAAGCAACGCTTCTACATCCTTAGGAGGCAGGTGTTTCTCATACATCGTAAAGAGCGTAGAATTTAGCGACAGTGAGGTCGAAACAAGCGCGATACGTAACCGCGAGGAAGAGATAGAACAGGTCGACAAACAAGAGGTAGAAATGGCCTCTAAATAAGGTCTAGTTTAGCTTTATCGTCACTCCTCATTTACAGGCCTATACTATGCGATTACAAGGCTTCAAATTAGCTCGAAATTGGACCTCTTAGCGGTCCATATATAGCCTGTAAACAACCATGGAAGTGGTCAAGCGGCCTTGCAAACCTAGCCGCCGTAGCGGCGCGATCTACACCCTTGTATAGGTTGATATACTTACACCTCCCTTGTCCATATACTGTTTGCCGAATACCCTACAGAAACTTTCTAGTGTACAACGGTCAATCTTCTCAGCAGTCAATCTTCTCAGCAGTCAATCTTCTCAGCAGTCAATCTTCTCAACAATCAATCCTCTCAGCAGTCAATCCTCTCCGAAGTCAATCCTCTCAACAGTCGACCTCTTCAGCAGTCAATCTTCTCAACAGTCGATCTCCTCAAAAGTCGATCTCCTCAACAGTCGATCTCCTCAACAGTCGATCTCCTCAGCAGGCAACCTTCATCCACACCGCCCAAGAAGCGTCCAGCCAAACACAATGCGATCAATCCTCCTCGCGGCTCTCGCAGCCTTCCCACAACTCGCCTTCAGCAATCCAACCCTTCAAGAGAACCCTCACCTAAGCATCCGTCAACGTAAGTCCCCCCCCCCTCCCAGACGCAAACTCAACGACTGAATCTCACCCCCAACAGCGATCCAAAACCTGCAGAAGCGAATCGCCGACGACGATATCGTGAGAGTGCATCTCAAAGACGGAAGCATTCGATACATCACCTACGGAGCTCTGTTAAGAGATAAGAAGCCGTGCGTTCAGAGAAATGGTGGATACTACGACTGCGTTCCCGGGAATCCGAGTGCATATATGCGTAACTGTTCGCCTGAAGCGAAATGTAGACATGTCATTGGGACATAGGAGGTAGAGGCTTTGCGACGTGTGGAATCAATCGATGCGAGGAGTGGAGATGGAGCTGGTTGTTATGGTTTTTTGGCATTTATCGTGGATGTATGTGGGAGCCTTGAGTCAATGTGCGAGGGCCCAATCGCTGCATTTCTGCGCAACATGAACTGCATAACAACTCTAACGAACCCGATAGCCGGGCAGCGGCAACGAGTATGTTAGTGGAAAAAAAGGCAAGATTAACCAACATCCGCGGAAGAATGCTAATTGGCATGAACGAGATCTTCACTAGGTTCTAGGGTCCCACGTTCCAAGCTAAGGCAGAACTATAATTTCGACAAGCCGAAGCGAGATCAAGTACCGTTCATTAAGGCTAGAGATGTCCAAACCTTAGTAACTAGTAATATTAAAAGTAAATAGTAAAATAGTAAAGCTTAACCGGCGATAGTGGTAGTAATAGTAATTAGTGAATTCTCTAAAAATCGTATAGTAATAGTAAAAGTAATAGTAATAGTAATTACTATTTAGTAATTACTAATTACTATTAGTAATTACTATTGCTATAGAAACTATCGAAAAGTGCATCCTTAATAGATATAATCTTTATATTTTTTAGTATTTTATAGTCTATAGAATATAGATATATATAATACTATTGCTAAGATATAAGTCTTTAGATTTATAGTAATAATATCCTAGAAAATTAATATCTCTACTATAGAGAGATGCTAGATACTAAAAAATTATTATAGAATAGTACTAAAAATCTAGTTTTTTTTAGTATTAATATTATTCTATAAATATTTATAATATTAGAGTTAAAAATAAAAGAAATATTTAGTAGAACTTTGTATATATTAGATTAAGTACCTATAAATAGAAATAGAAAAATAGACTATAGTATAGGGAAAAAATTACGAATTATACTAATTTAATTTAAGTCTTAATATATAGAGAGTAAGAGGCATAAAGAGCTAAAAAACCAATAATATTTATTGTAAAAATATTCTAAAATATACTATATAGAGTAATAATAGACTTATGAAATAATCTTTTTATTAGTAAATAATAATATCTTTTATTTTAAAGACATCCGATTTTCTAATACTCTTTTAAAAAAAGATATATTTAATAGTTTTTAAAGCGCTTTCGCTTAGATTTAAATATTTAGACGAATACTTAACGGATTTAGCTAAAATTTTAATTATAGATTGTTTAATATATACAGCACGCGTATAGAAATTTTTATTTATAGTTTCTTACTAATTAGTGTTTAAGAATTCTTGGCGGGATTTTAGGCTTTGTTTAGCCCTCCCGGGCCCCCCTACGCTTACTTAGCTACGTATTAGGAAGGTACATAAAAGCGGGGTACACGACGTATTACTATACGTCTTGTGCGACCGTAGAACGTCGTTCCTTTCTCGAAACAAGCTTGAAACTCGAACGACGAACAACGAACAACAACAAAGAAACGAATCCTAAACAAACTTGAAATAAGACTCGCCTAACGACACCCGGGCGGGTTTGATACCTACGACCATCGGCAAGACTTTACTAGGTCCCTCGGCGAACGCATTACGCCTAAGAAGCATGTCGCTACGCTACAGATATCTGTCTTTCTTTACTAACTGATTCCTTTAGCAAAACCTAGCGCCGCGACTTCTTTGCTCTTAAGAACGCTCTTAGCAAAGTCTAACAGCTTCTCGAGAAGGTTAATAACCTTAAGGAAGAGTTCCGTACTCTTACGGAACGTATTCGAGTCCTTAAAGGACAAGGTACGTTTGTTTTCTTACTTTATTAACTTTTTATTAGCTTTGCTAATACTTTTAGTTGCCGCTGCGAACGACTTCGAAATAATCGAATTTCCAACTCCGAATATCGAGGATTTAACAGCCGATCGTAAGTTATAGAAATAGTAGTAAAACAACTGCTAATTTTTCTTTTAGAAATCAAAGAAATTCTCGGAGCTATTAACCTTTAGGGTTACTAATCCGAGTCCTATATAGGCTCTAGATAGCCTATATAACAGAAGAAACACTATCGTTAGTTAGGGGTTATCTTAAACCCTATAAAAAAGTCGTCTCTAGAGGTTTTTTTTTCTCTTTTAGTATTTTTATTTTTATTACTATAATAGTAGTATACTATACTATATATATATATATTCTTTTAGTTTATTTTAGTCGGATATATATAAAAGAATACTATCCGAGTCCTATAATGCTTATATAAGCCCTACTTCCAGGGGGGTCTCTATTTTAAGGCCGTAAGAATCCAACGCTATTTAGCGCTTAGATTAAGCAATCTAGCAAGTCTAGGACTAGATTTTAGGTAGAATTTAGGTCCTATATATCTTATATATATATACGAATACTATCCGAGTCCTATCATGCTTATATAAGCCCTACTTTCAGGGGGGTCTCTATTTTAAGGCCGCGAGAATCCAACGCTATTTAGCGCTTGGATTAAGCAATCTAGCAAGTCTAGGACTAGATTTTAGGTAGAATTTGGGTCCTATATATCTTATATATATATAAGAATACTATCCGAGCCCTATAATGCTTATATAAGCCCTACTTCTAGGGGGGTCTCTAATTTAAGGCCGCGAGAATCTAACGCTATCTAGCGCTTAGATTAAGCAGTCTAGCAAGTCTAGGACTAAATTTTAAGAAGAATTCAGTTTGTATACATTGTATAAATATATAAAAAAACTATCTAGTATCTATATAAATTCTTTAAACTATAGGAGAATTTTATATCTATAGGTTGTAATTTTATACTGTCTAGGACTTATATTATATATTCTAAGTCGTATATATATTCTAAGCTAACTATATAGTTCAACTAATATATATCTAATAGACTAGTAATAACAATAGTAGTAGTACTGTGTATTATTATATTACTAATAGATATGTTTATTATTGCAGTTATTATTTATATATTATATATCTTGTTAATAGTATAGTATATAAATATACTTAATCAAAGCCTATCTAGCCGTCTAAGTCTATATCCATATCTAGAGTCTCGTAGTCTATATCTTCGGTAGATAATTCGTCGTCTTCTTCTAATTCTATAGTAGCGTCTAGCTCCTCTAGGTCTAGATTATCTATAGCCCTTTCTTTACCCTTAGAATTAGATTTAAACTCTTCTAGTTCTTCTTTAGATAGTTCTTTATCTTCTTCTATATCGTCTTCGGTCTTAATAATACCTAAGCTCTTTAATATAATAAGTTGTTTAAAATTCTCCGAACTAAGCCTATTACGTTTCTTAGTTAATATATCGGCTGCTATAGAGAATTGCGACTCGCTAGGGACCGAAGTCGCTAATATAGATAGCCAATCTCGCGCTATATTATAGATAATAGGTAATCTATACTCTATACTTTTATAATAATCTTCTAGTATATTTTTATTATTGTTATCTTTAGGTAGTCTAGGCTCGGCTAGATAGGTATCTAATTCGTCTACTTTAGATAGAGTTTGTTTACTAGTAGTACCCGCAATATAGAACTCGTCGTCGGGATCTATATTATAGGGAATAGAACTACTAGCGACCGTAGTTTGCGATTCGTTTTCGATATAAGTACGGCCGCTAGTATTAATATAATCTATTTTATAACTTTCGTATATCTCTCTTAAGTATTCTTTTACTTCTTCTATTACTTTAGAACTAAAATTAATAGGAGGAGATTCTAAGAACTCTAGTTTAAAACACGGATTTAAAACCGTAACTACTAGAATGTCTTTAAGCTTATTAAACGTTCTGGTTTTATTATTAGTATCTAGAAGAGTCGTATTCTTAATTGGATAATATTCTAAGGCTTTATTAATTGCTTGTTCTACTCCGTATTTTAAGAAAGGATTAGATTTAATACTATCTTTCTCTAAATGCCTTTCTAGAGTTCTTATTATTTTAAATATTTCTAGTATAGTCTTAGAAATAGTCTCGTAGTTTCGAGCTTGAAATAGTTTAGTAGGACGTACAAATACTTCTAAAGTATCTCGTAATAGAATAAGGTAGTCTAGTTCTTCTTTAGATATATAATAATTATCGATATTTAAAGCACGACGCTTAGTCTTAGATAGCTCGTTAGCTTGCTCTAGAGTCTTATTAATTTCTAGAAAATGATATATTATACTATTAATTAGATTATACTTAGATAACTATCTAGTAGCGTTATCGCCTTTAAGTCTTTCGAAGCCTTTTTTAGTATTTTTATTACGGCTTTTATTTTCTTTAACGACACGATTAAAAGTATTCTTTAGGAAATGATTTGTTTTAAAAGCTCTTATAATCTTTCGTAGACTATTAGGTAATGTTTTTATATTAATAGTAAACGTAAAGTTTGGATTATGATTAGTAATAGTCTCTATAGTATTAATAAATCTCTTAGTAGTATTAGGTATAAAAAACAATATAATAGAATACTATTACTTATTAAATTAATAGTATGCGCTACGTATCTTATATCTACTATATTAGTACCGTAAGATATTTTATATTCTCTTTTAATATCTAAAACTAAAGTATTAATAGCGCTAGCGCTATCTCTAGTTACGCCTATAATTCTATTCCTAATATTATAATTACTTAGTACGTTGTCTAGTTCTTTAAATAGAAAGTCGCCTATATAAGACGTAGCTCGATTGTTAGGATACGCTCTATAGAGCGGAGACGGACACGATTCTAGTATACAAAGATAATTAATTGTTAGTTAGTTACTAGCCTAGGAAAGTATATATATTAATCGTTATAATCTGCGGCAGGATCGATAGTATCCGAAGTAGGATCGGCCGCGCTAGTATCTAAACCGTAATAACCTCCTCCCTAAAAGGAAAGACTTATACGCCCTCGTATATAATACGCCGCCTAACGCTTCTCGGTACTGTCTCCTATTGTTCGTATTATGCTAATGCTTATACTAATAGGTGCCTTCTATACTATATCCTATTAATAGAATTGCGCGCTATACTAATACTTGTATACCTTATCCTATTAATCGTATTACGGGCTATACTATATACTAATAGGTGCTTTCTGTACTATATCCTATTAATCGCTTATGCTAACGGGTGCTTCTTGCCGCGCTTAAGGGTAGAAGGCGAACTATCGTCGGCCTAGGCGTTAAGGGCATCGCGCTTACGCTTACGCTTCGACTCTAGGGTCTCCGTAGAGGGCTCTAGCCGAGTAACGGTCGGTATAATAGTAGCCTTCTTACGGAGGACGTATAGGTCTATTTTCTTAGCGATGCTATTATATAGGCCTATAACCTTAGCTATATGCGCCGCTGTCTCGT